TATATTTTCAAAGCAACATAGCTGGAATTTCTGTAGTACATTGTAAATGAAAGCTCCACCCAGAAAGTAGATGATAGCCTAGATGTACTTACACCAAATCACGACCAAACCATACAGTGGAAGTGACTCCATAGCCTATTTTGGCTAAAACCTGATATCGGTTGTTGAAAATTTCCCCCTGTTGGATGGGATAATATTTCTGGGCCTGATATGTTGGTAATGTCTCTTCTTCAATACGTAAGGATGAGTCGAGTAATTTGAATCCAGAAGATGGAAAGTTCCGTGGCATCGATGTCCACTGAGGGGAGACCAAAGCTCTTTGTTGTGGGTACCATCCTGGGTATTTGGATATGTAGAAATATAACGGGCTGCAGGACGTAGAGAGCAGTGGTCGCTTTGAGGTCAGCCAGGTTCGAGAAGCAAGAGGATTGCGCTGGTATCTCGAAGACCGGTACATTAGGACCCTAAATTCAAAAGAAAGAAACTGAGAATAGCAAAGGTGCAGCTGGAAGGGAAAGAGAAATGACTATGGTATTTGATCACTCTCCAGAAGAAGCTGGAGGTATACAGTCCCTAGGTGAGATCGTGGAAACCTCTGGAGCATCACGTGGAGCTTATGGCATAGGCAAAATTTCACCATTAATTATCTGCATTTTATGGAGTGTGATGAATTTAAAGGCAGTTCACCTCCTAAGTCCCACTATTAAATCTACCTGATGTACGGGGTGTTCCTGTACATACTACCTCCCGACTACGGGATAGAATGTGACATACAAAACATTTATTGTTATAGTCTCCCAACATCTGCAATCGAATTCCTTCCTCAAGCACAGATGGAAGAAGCACTATGCCTAGCTGTTTATAAACCCTGCAATGCGAGCCTGTGCAATATTCTCCGCAAACCCACCTTCTCTCCCTTCACGAGAAGCGAGGAATTTCCACGCCTTGTCCTGGTGGATATGGATTGTACCAGTACGAGTTCCTGCATTAGTCTTCAGTCCCACTGTGACAACAAGGCTTTGATCCTCTCTATCGTTAAAAGAGAAGTGAGCCTTGGAGCCTCTATGCGATGATATTAGATGACTGGTTCAATTGAAGTACGGTGATGCCTACTGAATTTCTCCCGTAGTGATCTCTGGAACCTAGAAAAATCAGCGCCAACTATTATGGGCTTGTGATTAAATCATCTTACATATTTCTCAATTAAATTGCAGACAGGCTTCGTTGCATCAATCCATAAAGGGCCTTCTATAGTGCCATTGGTGATGATCATCTCCTCGAGAGGAGCTCCAGTGTATTGCATCAGAGAAGCAGAGGCCTTGTGGAGGCCCCTCGCAAAGTTCCGGCTCATAATGATAGTAAGGATTAGAGTCTTGGTTTTGTAAGCGCCGGGTGTAGAGAATATCGGAGTACGTAACCTTTTATGCCTTCATATTCTATGTATTCTCCCGAAAATACCGTTTATACTGTACTTCTTCCCATCCTCTCCGTTAACACAAATCAGGAATTTACCAGTCTACTCTCATTTATTTTTATCTGTCCAGCTGACTGACATGGCACCATTTAAATCCTGAGGTACCTCAACGTAATTGAACTGTTGATTTTAGTTTAAAATGGAACTATAATGTTGATGACCCTAGTCGGGGTGTATCTCATTCCTTAGGATTTGACTTCAGTGCCTGTGCATTACTACTAATTTGAAAGGTCACGCTACCTGCGGCACAGCAGATTTTCTGGCTATGTTTCGCTAATTTTTTAACAAAATGGGCCTACAATACAATGCATTATTGGATCTTTCCACCGCGAATCTGAAAGCATGGGTTTCCGGCATTGAGACGTCATGGTCGACGGATAATTTCTCTTTAGCACCAGGAGTAGCGACTGGAGGTACGGAGGATTTGGTTTAGAAGTTTGCTAATCCGTGGGCTAAATGTACAGTCGACTATTCCGTATCTGGTAAACCTCCATATTGAAACAATAGAGACAGAAAAGGTTAAAACACGTCCCCATTGACGAAGCCGTCACATTTTGACTGAATCGAAACCTGAGAAGGTAGTCTCACAAATCCCTGTACTAATCTCCCTTCGACCATCTCCTGCATAACTAGATCATGGAATTGTTTCACTCACGCCAGAAGGCTGTTTAAAAGAAGCATATAAATATCTGGTCCCACACACAAGGGGTAGAGGCCGTACCGACGCAATGCTGTCAAGAGATCAGACTTGCTCTCCACCCCGTGGAATCAGGCCCGAAAACCCGCTGTATGTGCCGTTAGCGGCTCGCAGAGATCTGGGTGCTTTGAGAGCACCAAAGGCTTGGAACAGGCTCCAGTATCTTGAGGTTGAGGTCAGCTAGCTTTGTTACACCTCTGGTAAATACGAAGTTCAAGTGTATTGCTGGTATCTGTACCTCTGTCTATAGTCCTAGTATATTGGTCATGTACACACATATCGTCTCCCGAACACTAATATATCTTCCTCATGGGTCAAACCAACCCATCAAACAGAGTTAGAATTATCAGCACACGAGAAAGCAGCTGACCCTCCACTCTCAGCATAAGACGCCATGATGTACTCAATGGACCCGTAAGTTCCCGCAACCATCATAAAGGATCCGATGAGTATCACCAACACGCTCCACACCACTTGGAACATCCACCTTTTCGACAAACGCGCTGCATCCTTCCCCTTCCTCCAGTTATCGTACAACCACATAGCACCCATTGGTTGAACGCAAATAAGCGGGCCAATTAAAGCACCAATGAGCGAAACCAGTGCATCGAAGATGGGTATTGTGCTGGCAATGATCCATGCGATCACGATTATTCCGAAGGTACAGCTCAGCCACGTGATCCAGTGCGTGGGCGAGTTGCTGGTGAGGTGGCGCGAGCCGCGGAGGATATTGACAAAGATGAATTTTGCGGGGATCTATAGTGTTTTGCAACGAGGTATGGTTAGCACGTTGGGGTCTAGGTCGCATTTGGGCTGCGTTGGGCTTACATGTGCAACGATTGTCAATGTGACTAGGAGCCCGGGTAGTGCAAATGCATAACTGATGATCTTTACAACTCCACCGGCTGAACCAAGGGCCGGTGAAGAAACGTAGGTACCGCAGTAGTAGTAGACAACTCCGCCGATTATGGAATATACGGCTAAAACGCCAGTTTGGCTTATGACCACGGCTTTGGTATATTGGTGAGGGTCTCGCATTTCGCTAACGATGGAAAAGAACCCTGGAGGTGATGGATATTAGTGTGAGGTAGCATACAGGGAAGAAGCAAGCAGGGGATTTAGCTCACCCGGGATTCCTGTAAAGGAGAATAGGAGGTTCGATACTGCTGCAATTCCATCCGCAAAACTGGGATGTCCGACGGCCACCCAGTCGGAAACCCAGGGCCCGTCCGTTTTGGGCGCGTCAGCGGGGCGGTCCTCTATACCGACCGCGACAGTAACGATAATCACTGTGTAAAGTCAGTGTATCATGCATAAGACGTGTCGATGGGGAAAGTACCGGCAGTTAGAATACATGGTAGGCCCACCCATGCAATGGTGGTGATGCGACCTAACGTTCGGATACTACAGAAGCAGAAACCGAAGATGGCTGCAACGGCGGTGAAGACGGCCGTGCATGTTGCATGGGTAGACACAGCGTTCAACCCAATGGAAAGACCGAGAATTGCAGAACCGCTAGTAAAGACGTAATCTGCATATGGTTAGTAACTACTATTGGCGTTATATTACTTCGACTATGTGATGGGGTCACGTACAAAGGCAAAATGCGGCTGAGAGGACCCACCTGCCAACCGAGCCAAACATGAGTGCACCGGCATCGTCAATGCTGTACACATCGCGGTGGTTGATCTTGAAGGTGCCAACAATATAGCCAGACCAAGTAGTGATGCAGTAGATTATAAACAGACAAATAATGCCCGGGACCATGCCCAGAACATCCAGAGCGGATGGGATGGCGAGGACGCCCAAGCCAATCTGCGTCTTCATCATGAGGATGACGGTTCCTATGAACCCGACCTAGCGGAATTAATCAGCTTTTGTGACTTTCTTAATGAGAACTGTTTGAATAAACATTGCGAAAGTTGGGACCGTGCTCCGAGATCTCTCCGAACACATCGTCATGGACGTATTCGGGTGGCTGCAGCACGTCCTCAATGTCTTTTTTGTCGACGTCCATATTGAAAAGGGATTGCTGAATATTTCCTGGAGAGAAGAAGGAAGATTCCAGCGCAGTGAGAAGGCCATGGCGACCCCTTTATAACAGGTGTTGGAAGCCGGCGTAGCCAATGACGTCGGCGCCAATACAGAGGCACAGAAGACGATTAATGCATCTCGGATCCCCCGCATTTTTGGTCGAAGTGCGGCAGCTGAATGCGGTCTTGATCAACAAGCTTAGCCTTTCCCAATACCGCATATTGTGGGTCGTACCCCCGCAGATAAGCCGACGTTGGCGTTGACAGAAAAGCACCCTCGCAAAAACCCCCCAAGATTCGTACGATCGGCTGCCAACCCGAGATTTGCCGAGTGTCCTCCTGCTGCTTCGCTTATCGGTTAAGATAAACTGCGGTAGAAAGAGGGATTAATCGAGAAGTAAGGCTGAAGATTAGACTCAATCACGGTCAAACCCAGTATGATTGATACAGCTAGTAAGTGAGCTAGCCAACCTGCACAGTGGTCGGATAGCCATGGTAACTCTTGAGGAGCGCTCTAGGCAAGCAACGAAAGCAGCAACGAACGGAACGAACGCGAAGCAAATGAGTGGATTGAATTGAGCTATCTAGGAGAGCGAATCAAAGCAGAGGTGCTTTGTGTGGGCGGCCTGAGCGCAGCACGTGACTAGCCTACATGAATGCCTCAACAGTAACCAATACGAAACTGCCAGAAGGATCATGCCATGGACGGGAAGAGAATGGATCTATTTACCAGAATGTTAATTCGCTGGCTGACCAAACCAGGCAACTATAACGTACTGCCAGAAACTGTAGGCACCTATGCAATCTTCTGAATCTGCGTCGAAATTGATTCGACGAAGAACATCCGATCATTGAGAAAATGTTTCATCACAGGAGTTTCGTATGGCCTCTTGGCTAACACGCTCCCCCTCTTCTTCTTTTTTGATGAATAAAACGTCCCTCCACGACCTATAATTGGTACACCGTGTATTGAGTGTAGAACTCAATCATGTCACTGATACCCGCACTCCGACGAGGAGTCTCTCTGCCACTTCTGTCGGAAACAAGTGACCATGCTGAGGTGCTCGCGGCCATCAAGCGCCTTGAGTGCCCGGCCTTCAGTGCATCTACCCTGCATGACCGCAGTGGTTCTCTATAATCCGAGACAATTGTGCCATTACTGTAAATATGCATACACGGGGTGATCAACATACCATAGCTGGCCCACGAAATTCCATAGTCTCCCACTAGGCGTCCTGAGCGCCGTCTCTCTACTGGCAATTTCAGTGCAATCTGAAATAAATATCACATACACAAGCGGGAAATTATCATGACACCAGGCGATAACCGGGAGCTTATCGTCCGGGGAAGCAATATTGACATTCATTATATGTTCGCGTTGTCATTCCGAATCGAGATGTTGATCCTGTTAATCAAAGTCGTCCATTGACGGAATGAGGTCAATTTCCAGCAACCTCAGATGTCCGGTCGAGGACTTCCAGAAGCTTCCTGACATCTATTTTGAAAGGAACACGAGTATGCCTATTACGACAGAAGCTTCTCATTGAAGATCTGGTCCAAAATCTTTTTCACCATGGCTGTTCGGGAAACAGCGGGAATGGATCTGTGGCCGCGTGGAGTGGCATGTTGTGTCCCTCTAGCCGAGTTTGCTTCATCGTGTAGATGGACATTGGGGGTGGGTTGTTCAGACGCTTTGTTGGATCGACCAATTCCCTCTTGACGATCTTTCCTCCCGGGACCAGGGATTACGGCAGGTCGGAAGAAGGCCTTGTGGCCTTACTGGTTGCCAGTCCAATAACAGTGGGTAGCTCAACCTGGATGAATATTGCTGAAAGAGCCATGTCGAATAATGGATCATGTAATGTTGTCACCAACTTCAACGGTGAACATGTCGTTATTGGATACTACCTATGAATATGTTTATATAACTCGGATTTGTGGTCCGAACCCTGATGACGGCGCGTGATATCTCATTATGGTCCATTGCTCGTATGAATAGGTTTCCCACAGTATCGACTCTTCCGAGAATTGGAAATGACTATTAGAAATGAGACATTGCCTTTATCCCGTCAGAGAGGCAGTATGAAGAAATCCGATTTGGTCTATGAAGAACCCGATCCCTGACATCTGTGGTGGCTGTCCTCGGCAGCACTCGCGGCAGCACCCTCGGATGAAGGTGGGGGTCTCGGCTTCTATCCGATGCTTATCATAGAACGTAGGGCATTGATCATCTCGGAATCGGATGTGAGTATCAATCATAGTAGTAAGAAATACCGGGTAAAGAATTATCACAACACCATTATTCCGAGATGCTTCCATGGAGGCTTGTCAATTAGCAATCGGTTCTTAATGTCCTTGGTGCCATGCCAAAGTGCCACTCTCCATCATTAAATTCTCTCCATTCTTCGTATTTCTAAAACACCCCTCAACATGTCTTCTATCGACCTTAACGACGTGGCATCTGCCCTTCGCACAGCCCTAGCTGAAGCAAAACCCATCAACCCACCAACCAAGACCTGGCCCAGCCTCACCCCAGACGATGGCTTCAGGATCCAAGAAATCAATTCCAAGCACAACGTCGCCAACGGCGACCGTCTAGTCGGATACAAGCTCGGCAACATTGCAAAAGTGATGCAAACCGCTTTCGGTCTTGACCATCCCGACTATGGATTCCTACATGCAAAGTCATTCATCTACGAAGGCACACCTATCCACCTGAATAAATTCATCAAGCCGTTCGTGGAACTCGAGCCTGCTTTCGTTCTGAAGGGGCCCCTGAAAGGTCCTAATATCACCGTGGCAGATGTCATCAATGCCATCGACTATGCTATTCCTGCTATTGAGATCATTGACTCCCGCGTGAAGAACTGGGCGATAGATCTGCCGGATACGCTTGCGGATAATGGGTCAACTGGTGCTATCATATTGGGTGGAACGCCGCGCAAGCTTACCGACCTTACCCTTAATGATACCCGTGGTGTCTTGAAGCATAACGGCAAGGAGCTGATGACGGGAAATACGAAGAATGTTCTTGGGAATCCGATCTCGGCTGTGGCGTGGTTGGTGAATCGGTTGGCGGAGTATGATATTGAGTTTCAGGCAGGGCAGCTTATTATGCCCGGAAGTTGTCTGGAGGCTATTCCTATGGAGGTTGGTCAGTGGACATGTACGTTTGAGGGATGGGGGACTATCGAGTTCGATGTTGTGTAGATCGTCACTAGGTCTCCTAGACATACCACATTATTTCTTGTTGCATGAAAACTTCTACAATCCAATGAATGTGAAGACTTATTATGGGGTCTAATTAATGGCTTCAGTGATCATTGTGTACTGCTGGTAAATGATATATTTCCCGTAAATTTCCTGATCCCCTTATACCTCTATCTCGACTACTCGTAGACTGCATCATCGAATCGTATATACTACCTAAGTCATGAACTCTACGACCAATATGTCGCATACTCACTCTCCCCCTTCACTACCTTGATAAACTCCTCCGCAATTATCTCATCCGTCCTCTGCGACGGATGCAACTGATCATACCAGAGAAATGAATCCGGATTCGACAGCGTCTCACACTCTGACCCCGCGACATTACAATGATGAATATAGCCCGTGACATTCGCCGGCGCTGACCCATTGAGATATTGTTGCGGATGATAGTAGATATCGGAGATCTGCCCACATCAGCAACCATCACACCTCAACCCCTCAAGGAAAGAACTGAACTCACCAACGAATACATATCCATAACTGCGACCTTCGCCCCCGGATACCTCTTCCCAACGACCCACTCAAACGGCGTCCGATAATCATAAACCTGATTAACGGTACTCACCTGCTCCCACATGCGATAACTAATCTCGGTGAAATTCCCCGACTTATCAGGCCAGTAATTATTCGCCCCAATGCCCCCATTCTCCGGCGTCGCATACAGCGGCGCTAACTGCAACGGCACCATGTTCATAATAACAAAGTACTTTCCCTTCGCGGCTTTGTACACGCCATCGAGGGCATTGAACACGCAGTCAACGTAATCCGGGATTGTCTTATTCGCGACCTGCGAATCAGTCAGGAACGCGTAGTTACCGAGATCGTTCGTCCCGATCCAGATGGAGTAGATTGTGCTGTCTGGGTCATTTTGGAGGAACTTTTCTCCCGTGCTGGGAATGTGATAGGCGTTGTCCGCTGTGAAGGCCGGGACTTCGTATTCCAGGACGGAGGGGTAGAGTCCGAAGGAGGTCGTTCGGGGGGTTATTTTGTTCGAGCAGGAGGCGCCACTGACGGCATAGTTGTACCGGTGGGATAGGTGGGCGTATTGGTGCACGAAGTGACCCCAGATATAGCCGCCGGAGGCGGATTGGTTTGTCTGGAGGTATTTGTTAGCGGTGTATATGATATAGGTGTTTATGTGCATTTGGAGGTAGAGATAGTGTGTGTGGTGTCTGGGGAACATACAATCGGCTCGACCCAGCCCACTGGCGGCGCCGACCCATTATGGTTGATGAAGTAGCTAATTCGCGTATCATCCGTATAGCTATCACCGAAGGTGACCAAGGTTTTAAAATCCTGGATGCTCCATTTTTGGGTGGACTCGGCGAGTGCCGCTTCCAGCCCTAGGAGAATGACGCTGACGCAGCGTGGCAGACGCATTGTGCACTGTCGGTATGGCGTATGCGAAGAGAAAGTAACGGGGGATGCCCCCTCCTCTTTATTACAAACATTGAGCACGGATTCGGCCGATGATCGATCGCATTGATGTGCTCTGTTTTTATCCGGATGCGGAGGTGCGGGTAAACTCCGCTCACCGCAACACGACGCTATTCGCGGAAGATCTGCGTCGGGGTGGCCAATGCAGGTGTTTATCCGCGTTGTTTGCTGCAGATTTGGGGTAGTTGGGTGGCTTGGTGAAGCTGGGGGGCAGCGAGGGGTTTCTTAAATTTGATTAGCTGTGTAAGATCGTTTGATGGGGTCTGCGAGGGAATACAGTCAAGAAGTAGACTGTATAGACGCATGAATTTATATGAGAGCGGCAATACTTTTAAGCTATTAATACGGACTTATTGGACCTGTTTATAGACTTCGAATAAACTTTCATATGGCTACGCTAGCTTAAAGGAAGAAACACAGTCAAGTATCCTGAACACACCGCAGTCGGAGTGGCCTAGTGCAGCTTTCATTCAAAATAAGTAGCCTGAACCTCCCCGTACGATTGGCCATTGAACTCCAGCTCGAATTTTATTGAGGCGGACCCCGGGGTCATAATAATGTAAAATTGAACAGTGTAGTAAACCGTGCCTTTGCTGTTCGTGTGTTTTGTGAAGTATTGAGTTGGTACACTGCTTAAATCAGTTGTCAAGGTACACAACTGGTAGACACCTGCATACTAATTAGCTGATGTACCTCTGTGGAACATGAAATAGTCAGTTGCCTACTACTATCGCTACGTTCTGGTGCTTCACTGTGAAGGCATATCTTTAGTCTGCTTGTAACACTGGGCGTTCTGCCAACAGCAACGGTCATGTCAAAACCCATCCGTATGGGTTTTCCTTCGTGAATCTCGTCGCCCTACAAAGTGATGAGCAACAGTTACAAGGTTCGCGACTGAGTACTTGCCTTGTGAATATACCAAGTCATCATGTCGCGAATATACCACCTTTCCCTCAAGTCATCCCAGAATCTCTTTGCGTCTGGAAACTTAGCCAATGTCTCGGGATTATTTGTTTCATGCCAAATGCCATAGTGGCATCGAGCAATTCGGTTGGTAACCTGGTTGCCTCCCAAACCGTATCGGACCGCACCACTGGGTTAAGGTAAGCAGGCTGCGCCAATACCCTTTCTACCTTAAGAGACTCACAGCATCACAGCAGACCAACTAGTACTTGTTAGCTTGGTCATTATAGAAGACATTCTCTAACTTCTTACGAGTTTGGTGGCTGCATCACAACAATGTCACTGAATGTTTCCTGAATACAGTGATAGAGGTACTCGGATGACCCGAATCCTCCCACCAGAAGGATCGCCTACCGGTAATAATCAGCCACGCTCGTAAATCAACTGATGTACTCACCTTCACTGGCATATTCTTGGCTCTAGCACTATTGACCTGGTGAACTATTTGCACCTTGACTCGGTCGACAACCGGATTGAAGATCTTCTTAATCTGAGCACTATAGTTCTAGAGTTCAGCTTCGAGGCGCGCAGGGATGCTTCGATGATGCAGATTTACTCACCCCTCCAGCTGAAGAAACCCATCTTGTAGACCTATTTTGGGGTTATCCTTCAATCCAGGCAGAGGTACAAAATGTGTCTCCTCCTCAAAGTCCGGGTCACTCGCAAAATTGGGCTTGATTTGATCTTGCCAATACTTCAACGCCAATTCGGAGGATTTTCCACTTAGATGTTTATCATTCACCAGGACATTGAGAAAAGCCTTGAATGCGGCATCGAGCAGAACCGATCCACAGATGTCACCTGCTTTTGTCAGCCGATTTAGATAGCGTCTTGGCTGGAGGAATAGCATACCGCTGCCTTCAGATACCTCCTCCAAACACAATGGAGACACCGTCTTCACGCAGTATGAGATGAGATCCTGTCTTGTTCAGCCATGATAATTGTAAGATAGTCACCCATGTGGGGATAGGCTTAATTACCACAGTACCACCACCAGCATCGCATACTACGACAACATCGTTGTTCTGCATTCGACGTCAAAAAGAAGCTCTTCTTATCGCATACCCCAACTTACCTCGATGGAGTTAGGTTGAATTTCATTGAGACAGTACAAAGCTGCCGCCTCTGGCTCCGATACCAAAGTAATATCCTTCTGAGGGATTTTGGCCCTTGAAGCAGCTTTCAAGGTCGCATCCTTTGCCTTATCAGACCAAATTGCCGGCACCGTTAGGACATACTTCATTTCCATCTGCTCGGCTGCTGGGCCGAAGCGCTTCTGGAGAAGCTTTTTCGTGTGGTCAACCAGTCCTGTCAGATACATGCCAGTCAAAGTAACCGCTGGTATGCGCGACCTTTTGAGGAGTCCCGCATCTATCAAAGATGCTACGTATCCTGAATTCTGGGGCTCATCTAATAATAGCTTCATGCCCCGGATATTATCTTCAACAAGGTAGTTGGTTTGGTAACCCCAATGGACACGCCCACCGCATTTGATCGCCATGGTGCTAGGGACTTTAGGTGTTGTCCCTGTTGCTAATAATCAACAGATAGTTTTATGAACGTATCGAAAGACGCCACAGACGGTTCCCAGCTCCAGGCCACGACATTATGATTTCTGGCTTATCTGGACAATCTCTCAAAGCCCATGCGACACTGACAAATATTAATTCCCCGATCACGATTGGGTAAATAATTATCTCTTACCCACTATAAGTGGTGCCGAAGTCAAGTCCAATGACGATACGAGGATTCGACATATTTGAGACACAGTAGTATATTATCGTACAGATACGAAGAAGAAAATGTTGAAGTGAAAGGAGGGGTGGCAGAGCGGATTTAAGGAGCCGAAGCGAGATGGATTCTGTCATTACCATGCATCACTTCCGTCCCCATAGTCACGATGACGATTAGCCAGAAGTGATGAAGTCAACGTTGGCGAAGACCTTGGAGGATGAATTCAGCATTTTACACAACGGCAATTACCACCATGGAGCAGTTCATCGACATCGTTTCCCAGTACTTCCCCATGCTTGATGTCCTTCGCAACATAGAAACGCCACGAAGACTTGCTGCCAACGGCGAAATGTCGCCTCCAAAATCGTCACCTGTCATACATCTTCTTCGCGTGAGTCGATTTCACAGTTGACGATGTAGTGATGACATCCACATGCTCACATTCCCAGAACAACCCGGAATTATACAGAGGGTTAGAAAAGGCTGCGCTGGCAACGGGTCACGTAGAAGAGGGCCTTCGGCGTCAACTATACCACGCGCAGCAGTCTAAGGAGTCGATGAGATTAGAGCTGGCTAAAAAGCAATCGGACATCCGATCACTCACGCAGCAGATACAAGCTCTAAATTTTCAGCCAAACGTTCTCTCTGACGACGATATCGCACAAAATATGAGACGGCTCCTACAGCGACTTCGAAACTGGTCCAATACCTACTTTCGCGACTTGGAACAGCTGAACAAACTCAGACAGCATCTCGAGCACAATGGAGCAATGTTTGTACCTCGAGGCCCACATGAGGTTCGAGCGTTTATCGCCTCTGTCGTCAGCCAGATTCTGTTTCAGCGCATATTCAGTTTATACCTACTAGGGTTACCCAATGAAGAATCGGGAAGATTCGTGTCTATTGCAGAGACACTACGGCAGAACTGTATGACTTCCGATCTATTGTAGGTCAAAGTGAGGCTGACCTGAACCCCAGGCCCCGGGAATACTGAGCATCACTGGCGCACGGCCACAAGCATAGCTGCGGAGAATCTTGGAGCAAAGCGATATAAACATGGTGGCATCTCAAGTGGAGATAATGCTCTCGCAGTACTATTCCGTTGAACCGTCCACCGTGGCCAGGCGCTTGCGTGCCCTTGTGCAGGAGTGTATGCAGTTCAAGCGCGATCTAGATCGTCAACTGAGCCGCTATCATTTCTTTCGCAGTGCCTTGAGAGATAACTTTGCCCCGGATTATATGCAGCATGCTATACCTTTCCAGGAAGTTGCAGGTCGTGTTCAATGCACGCTGTGGCCCGGCTTGTACAAAGAGTCAACGAGCGGAGCTCTCGTTGTAGTACCAGAGACGGTCCTGGCTACGAAAGATGCAGAAGATCAGAGCCCAACCTGTACAGAGGTGTCAAACACTCTGGTTCCGGGTTTGCAGGACGTGTCAGACCACCTATCGGACAGTGGGGAGAACATCGATAATGAAGGTGTTTCCTGCAGGGATTTGGCCTTTGACATTGAACTCGGAGGGGATACTGTGTGAATGCAGGCCTCATTCCATAATAATTGAAATAGGCTATAGTCATTTATTCTTGACGATCATAGGCTATTTGCCGGATATTAGAGTCAGCCTCAATGGATTTTGAGACATAAATAGTAGATAAACCCCCAGTGGGCTGTTGATGCCTTGCTGCCTGGGAGCCTGATACGGATATGCCCCACCCGCAAAACATGTTCGAGTTCCCCTGCAAGATGCTTGCTTCTCCCTGCAGTCAACACGAGCCCTAGGGTAGATACCCACCAACAATGACCTGCATAGGTTTATGTTGGGACACCTCCATGCATGGCCCGAAGATCATGGGAAGCGGTGTATATCATCCTCATCTATTACTCCGTACTCCGTGCTGAATGATTAATAAGTAACCCCGGCTTCGGTTTCGGAATTGCTAGCCGCGGACTCCGATTGGGGTGCCAGCTAAGGGCTGACACCCATCCCTCAATCCTTATCAGCAGCGCTCCATCGCAATGTCTTCTCTGCCTCATTCCCAACTGGTCTGCAGTTGTACGACGGCACCATGACTTTCTCCGACTCCAAGGGAGGCGCATGGGGCCAGCAATGGCGGTCATCGCCCCTTTTCATTGTCAGCGCCATGGCGATGGCCTTGTTCACTGGTAACACTCCAATTGACTGCGTTTGTCCTACTGCGAGGAATTCCGCTTCTAATATCTGTCGCCTTATCTAGACACCTTTCTCTACGCCTTCCTCGTCCCCATCCTCCCCTACGTTCTCGAAAACCGCCTTGGATTAGACGTATCCCTCACCCAGCGCGTGAGTTTCGCTCTGCTGTCAGAAACCGCCATCGCTGCTCTCGTTACAAGCCCTTTCATTGGCCACTATGCCGATCGCATGTCCTCCAAGCGAATCTTGCTCGTTGGATCGCTGTTAGCTGCGTTGTTTGGGTCCATAGTTCTGGCCTTGGCGACATCAAGTAGGTCTCTATGTCGCATATCTCTGGAATGTTGGCATACTGACAATCATGCTCAGCATTTACTCTCTTCGTGGGACGTCTCATTCAAGCAATTGCCAGCTCCTTCATCTGGGTGGTTGGATACGCCACGATCGCGGACAATGTGCAACCGGAAAATCTGGGCAAGACATACGGGGTTATTTCTCTGGTCGTAGCAGCAGGTACCTCGGGGGGTCCGATGGTTGCGGGCATTCTTTTCGAGCTGGGCGGATACTGGGTAGCATGGTCTAGTGCCTTTATTATCCTTATCCTCGACATTATTCTCCGTCTGCTCATGCTGGAAAAGCCGGACGTCCAAGGCGACACGGACTATTCTAGCAATGCGAGTGTCGCATCGGACCTTGAACGCGCACCTCTCCTGAGCAGTAATCCCGGCCTTGAGGGCGACATGGCGGGCTGGAAGTTTTATGTATATATTTTGCGGTATCGCCGCTTCGTCTGCGGCGTGATCAGCTATCTTTCCTTTGCTGTTCTGGTCTCCAGCTTCGACACTACCCTTCCTCTTCATGTTCGCGATGTCTTCAGCTGGGGTAGTTTTCCTGCTGGTATGATGTTTTTCGCCCTGCAAGGTCCCGGGATCCTTCTTAGCCCCATCTGTGGTTGGCTGAAAGATCGGGTCGGGACACGATGGCCTACCACGGTCGGCTTTTTGCTTCTCGCGCCCGTGATGTGGGTGATCGGCATGCCTGGTGACGAGCGATTCCCATGGGCGAATGAGGGCGACCGCGGAAAAATTATTTACGCTGTCGGTGTTACTGTGGTGGGATCAGTGTCCTGTCTGCTGAACGGGGCCGGTACAATCGAAGCTACGGGTAAGCACATCTTCAGCAGTACAGAAAGGATAATAGTATGAGCACAACCTAACGCAAGTACAGTCACAATTGACGAAGTCGAAGCCAAGCACCCTGGCATCTTTGGCCCCAACGGAGGCTATTCCCGTGCTCTGTCAGTAGCCAGTATGGGATGGACGCTCGGAGCATTCATCGGGCCCATCATCTCCGGCTACATCGCCGAACAGGTCGGATACTACGAGATGAGCTGCGTTATCGGTTTGTCCCCCTTTCAATCCCATTTTTGAGGCAACACTAACAGAACTAGCAATTGTGTGCCTTCTCTCCGGCGTCAACACTTTCTTTAACCTAGACTCGAAAGTCCATTTCGACCGTGTGGCGGAATCCACCTAGACTAGACCTACTCTCCGACGCGACCGTCGCGCAGACTCGTATATACCCTGCCGAGATAAACTCCCCGGTTGACCTACATGAAACGGTCTATTGACGATACATCCAAAAGTGTTTCTCCTTGCATATACGAAAAGTTCGTGCTTCTTGCATTTAGCGTTTCAGGAATATGATAGCATGAGAGAGATCCAGATTTAAAGTCATCATTACATTACATGTGAAGCCGCGCATCCGTGCGTCGATATTATATCAATCATTCATTATCTAGCGTTGTCCAATATTTGAGGTGTCTAGACCCTACACTTTAGCACGCCAGATACGAGACAAGCTATCCGTGCGCAGCACCTATCTACCATTTCTCGTACACCCCTAATATCCAAGATACGCATAGGCCTCTCCCCGTCTCGCCGGTATAGATGAAACCCTTATCGGGACCTGCTAGATAGTACAGGTCCAACGTGATACAGCGCGACTCAATCATAGGTCCAATTTAGTACTAGTAGGGGACCTTACGTACGCTCGGACCCAAAATTCAGTAGGCCCTGTCGCCTTATCTCTATGTGTTGGGGAATAATACATCTCACATTTAATATATTTGACGTGATGGGGATACGTCAACTGTAGGAGGTGATCTAGGTTGGTCTGTTGGGTTGTGTGCGGGGTCGAGATACGAAATTATTATGCTTGGCTTGACAGATATTGCGGCTGATTCGACTCTGTTGAGTACTCCGTCCACGACGTAGTGATTAGGATATTGTTGGAGTAAAGGGGTACTATTGTGTCATGCTAGTTAGTGAAGAGTGCATCACACCGGAGTTTGCTGTTAGAGACCTTACTATGATGATTACTAGTAGATTCATTATGATGCACGGAGTAGTACTACCTCCAAAAGTATAGATCTAGACCTATCTACCTGCGTGGTAGTATCACGAAGCGAAACAGCCTAACTAGCCACGAACAATAATAGGCTACTCATATAGGGAAATACCCTCCGCCATGCGGCATTTACCACAGATCGAGATCCCCCATGCCATCTGCATCTGCATGGAACTAAGATGGTTGATGATGAGTACATCCGGTTCATATTGGATAATAATAATCATCGATTCATGCATGGGTATGTTAAGCCACGTCCTCAGGATGAACTAGGCCTGCCGATCTCGCGATAGAGTTTGATGACAGTTACCGGGGTGGGGATATACCTGCTCTCTTGTCCTGTCTCTGTAACCGTTGAACCTATAGAAGGTAGCTGTGCTAGGCACTAGAGGCATCACGAGACGGTTATTTGCGTACGTGTGACAACGACTTTCCGCCCGCCCGCCAAGCGTAGCAGGGATTTTGGACTTGCAGATCGTCAGTGTCGGATATCGGGTGCGAGGTTTCGCTCATCTCTGGCTATCTGGGCGGATGCAATTTCCGGGTATGGTCATGGGTTCCTTTCCTCTTTTTGAAATGATCGGGGGTTTGATGCGGTGCGATATCATAGTTGCCTGGCATCGGTTTGAAGGCTGTGATTGACGGACCTGTATCCCGAGGGAGGTGGTTTTGTCGTACTGGACGCATTCTCGTATAATGTCTCTGTCAGTCTGTCTAGGCTATGATTCTATTCCAGGGGTGATGGAGACGCCGGATAGCGGAAGAGGGAGGGGGTAAGAGGGGCCTCGCGTGGCCGTTCCGGCAATTTCTCCGGAACGGCTGCAGCAGATGAGGAGTTGACATCCCCTGTTGCGACCTATGATTTGTCGATGCGTTTCTCCGCATAAGGCTGAGTAGTCGTCATGGACGGAGTTGCTTCTGGATTGAAACGATCCGGTGTGTGCTAGTGACGAGAAGCTGAAATTCAGAAACAACGGCAGTTCACGGTGTCGAAGGAAAAAAAAGTGTTGACTAGCTTAGTTATCGACTAGGTAGAAAATAGCTATGGATCGTCAGGAACACACACCGTTCTCGGAGGGCGTTGTTGGTGGTAGTCGACCCTGAGTGGTGAAAACCAGAATTGACGCTAGAAAATTCAGATCTGACAGGTCAAGCGAAACCGGTTTTGAGTCACGCATGTGTCTGTCTCTGTGCATGACAGGTGCATGAACTTTTGACATCCATGGAGGCAGGCAATTGATTTGTGTCTATACGAGGCAACAGGCTGCTTTCTTTAGTCTAACAGAATTTGCTACCCCCTTCTCAGTCTGTTTCCCTACCAAGTAGTCGATCCGAGACCATTGAGGCTACGTCACGCAGCTCACGGACGAGGCCAAACAAAGTGGGGAGCTCAATAGCGCAGGACAGCATTGAATGTGGTTGGATGACGAAGTACCGTCGATGGAACCCGGCGGCCGGCGCAAAGACTCCCATAGTTCTCCGTATTATCCCCCTATCGAAGATTCCAAGTCGCGGGAAGAGGGGACAACCAAGGGGAGCTGCGAGCGGAGTCTAGACTGTCCTGATCATTTCGGAGGGTCGGGATCGCGACCGAAGGGCACTTGGACCATCTGTGTGCGGTTCCTGAATAATTAGTGCCTGGCATTGGGATCAATCTCATAGCCGGAATGCCTAATGTTTGGCGCACAACCCCTTTAGTGGAACTTATATGGGAGTTAGGATATCAGCATAAGCGCCGATGGCGCTGACAGAGATTGATCCTCATAGTCTAGGTTAATATGCTCGATTTGCGATCGTAACATGTGATTGTAGTTACCCTAAATCAGTCATGCAGCCGCAGTAAATCAAACGACAACACTCTTCCGATGAGGCACTCTACATCATCGTCATCAACAGCTTCAGCTGCGGTTAGTTAGCCTGAAAAACTTGACTGAAGATGCCAGGATGTATGCAGGAGCAGGTGACCCCCCTGCCCTCTTCACGCCTTAGTGTCTTGGCTACGCACAATCACACACCAAACAAGTAGAAATTTTCAGCAGAAGATCTCAGCTCATCCACATCTTTGTTTCTGCATCACCATGCATAGTTTCCTACCATTCCCGGTCTCTGCGCCGGCATCGCTTGAGAGTTGAGACACGAACATGAACCCCTTCCGGCCGACGGAATCAGTCCTTCATCCTGGCTCATCTCAGTCTTAGCTGCCACACGGACTGACCCACACCTTCCTGTCTCAACCTCGGTAAGCACTTCCTTCCTTCTCACCCAGTCCCTTTGATCTATCAGTCCCCTCAATATAGTACTTACCACTCACGAATGGATCTAATGGACTAACCTGCTTCCAAGAATGCCGCGCCGGACCGTAACGGTTGTGATGAGATGATCCAGCGTGTCCACCGCGGGCCAGGATACCGTTCAGTCAGTGACAGCTTGGTCTCTCCAGCCTATAGCATCCCGAATCGGCCGTGGTCTCGGAGGTCGGGTGGAGCAGCAGACGCTGGCCTGGCGCCGTTGATGCTCGGTCTCTGCCTCGACGGTCGCCAGACGAGGTTTAGTTTGATGAGTGGAGAGCCTGCAGGCAAATCTCTTTTCGTGGTTTTGATTTTTTATTTTTTATTCTTTTTCTTTTTCTCGACATGGAAAGTAAAACTTTTTTTGGGTCTCGGTTCCTGCCAACTTTTTTCGCCGCGTCGAGTCTCCATACCACCATGGCAGACCTACCTCCGAACAGTCTCCATATCCGGCCGAACATGTCTCCTGCTGGTCTCTACAAACTACGGAGCCTGGCCGGTGCACCGGGGTGATTGGTGTACATATACAAACCCCAATCCCCTAACCTTTCCCCCCTGGATATTAGTAGTCAAGTTTCGCCTCCGAAGGATTTTTCTTCACTAGAGTCTTCTCAATTTTTCTTCTTAAGCGATTCCCCTCTGGTTCGGGCAGCTACGCACACGACACGCATTCTCTTTATGGCAGCACCCCTCCACGACCTTCGATCGTCTCTCATGAATAGAACCCTTTACCGCTGTCGTATCGGTTGAATCACATCTCAAAAGTTGCAACCATGATGGATCTTGGGTATGAGGCGACTCCGCCACCTTCCGCTGGAAAGGATTGGGTCAGCTTCTGGAACTTCGTGGACCGAGCTCCCCCTCTCGAAGCCGAATCGGTCCCCCGCGATATTCTGGTCGTGGGTGCCGGCATTGCGGGCATTGCCGTTGCCCTGGCCCTCTCAAAGGAATTGACGCCCTTTGTCCCCGATCTCCGGATCAACGTCTATGAACGGCACGACATCCTTTCCACATCCGGCGGTGCTATCAACCTCACCCCCGTTGCTCAGCGCCATCTGGATCGCTTGGGTGTCCTCGACGAGCTGGACAAGCTGGGACCGGAGTCTGGCACCGATGTAGATGCTATCCAGCTGTTCTCCAGCCGCTCGGGACGCTCCCTCGGCGCCATCAACTTTACTGATGACAATGGAAACGGATTTGGTGGGTATAAGGGCCGCAGAGTGATGCGTATCATCCTGTCCTTGGCCATGTTGAAAGTTGTCGAGCGCACTAAGAACGTCAATGTGGTCTTTGGCAAGAAGCTGGTCCGCGGCAAGGAGTCAAAAGACAAGGCCGTCCTATACTTCCAAGATGGCACAACGGCCACCGGGGACCTCGTTCTTGGTTGCGATGGGGTCCACTCCAACGTCCGCACCCATTGGGTCTCTCCCGAGCACCCGTCCGAGTACACTGGCATCTCATTCGTCCAAACCATGATTGATAGCAAAGACATCAAGGCCCCCGTTCATTTCCGCTCCACCTCGATGAATATTTCCCGTCATGGCTCTTTGCTCGCCAGTTATTGTGACCGAGATCATACTCAAATCTTCGTTGCCGCCATCGTGCAGTTCCGGGAGGAGCTCCTGTCGCACTACAAGATTGAGCCGGGTCAGGACTGGCGGCGCACCGCGGCTATCAAAGATGCCCTTTGCCAAGAGATGCGGGACCGTTTCGGCCGGTCGGGCCTCCCGGCCATCCGGGACATGGTCAACAAGGCCGATGACTGGATGCTCTATCCAGTCTGGCAAGTTCGCCCGGGTGCACGCTGGTACCGTAACCGGGTCATCCTCCTCGGTGACGCGGCGCATGCAGTAAGTTTTTATCCCTTGGATGCCTTTGACTTGATACTGATATTAGTAGATGCCGCCGCGTGATGAGTCTGCCGCGTACGCGCTAGACGATGCCATTCTCTTCTCGCGCATCCTAGCGAAGCACCGCTACGATCCTCTCCCTGTCGCCTTCAAGGCTTATGAGGATCTGCGGCGGGGAACGGTCAATGCCGCCTTCCAGGTGTCGCGGCGGATGTGGGAGAAGAACCGTGACCTGGGCTTCTTGGAGGGCCGCCTCAAGGAGTGGACCATGCCCATGCAAGTCCGCAACGGCAAGGAAGCTCGCGAACAGGCGTGGGGCTTTGATGCGACCAAGGTGCAGCTCCCGGGACCGGGAGACTCGACCTCGTCGCTGTATTCATCTGAAAAGGAGTTCCTATAGAGGGTTTGCATGGGTGGTGTTCCGGTTGGCGGGCTTGGGTTATTGGGTTCTCACGAGCTATGATATCATCTATACAGTTTTACCATACAGCAGGCATAATGCCGTGGCTGTTTGATTTTTGGCATTTCGGTTCTTGGTTCGGCATCATATATATCAGACACGTTGGTCTCTTGAATTCATCATCCTTATTTCGGTTGCGCGGCGTACCGAGTTTTGATCCGAGGTACGACGGGGGGAGTCTATTCCCAGATGGGAAGTCTTCCGGATTAATCAATTTAGATAAGTGATTAGTTAATGTCAGTTAATATCTCTACTCTTCATCCCTTTTCCTCCAGGTTAAAGATATTAGTGACCCAATAAATGAACTGTTATGATCGGCTCGTTAAGAAATAGATTATACGAACGGAAAGAGTCCCCGAAGCTGCCCCTAATATTCTCCCCTCCCCCAGGAACAACTAGTCCAACTGAACCGTTATGAACCAAAAAGCGACAATTTATCCACCCGGTTAATAACCAGCCCACTCCACCCCACTAACATCCAGAAAAGCGGCTGGCTTGGACTATTTACCCCTTCCTTTCCCCTTCTTCCATCCACAGTTCCTTTGAGTTCCATGGAACAATCCTAATGTCATGCCATGTGCCTGAAAACCAAGACATTACCCCGGAAAGGATGGGAAAGATACAATGAAAAAAAAACTTTCCCCGTCTTACCCTATGGTCAACAATTGTCTTGGCTATGGTCTGATCCCTACATGTGTCCCATGTCGCATGGCCCTTGGGTTACTTAAGTTTAGTCGGTAGATAGTTTCTGCACTAAAATGTCTAGTGGTGAGTTAGTTGGGCTGACTAACGTTAAACCAGAACATAACTGATTAGTAGTCTAGGTTGGGGTTAGTTTTTTGTTGTGATGGAATTTTTCGGGATCGTAAGCCGGGATATGCTCATTTAGTTGGCCAATGGGGTTGTCTGGGTGGGTGGTTGTTGTTTAGAATCCCGGGTATTACTTAGTAGTCTCTACTATTGATCACGGTGGGTAGGGCATGGATGGATGAGATAATTCCGATTCCGAGCTCGATTTCGCCCCCATTGTTAGATGGATGGACGGACATGCCGGATCTGTGCGGCGTTTGGATGTTGGGGTCGGATCTGATCGGGGCGGATCTATGGGGTGCTTGTGATTGTTTTTCATTGCTTATGGGGGCCGGGTGAGTACGAGTGTTGTAGCTGTGGAGGAGGTTGCAGAGGTATAGTGTGCTGTGAATGGGATTTACGAGTCAGTTGTAGAATACATGTCCGGCATTGAGCTCAAGGAATTTTCGGGAAAAGGAATCAAGGTTTCTTGGTCTTCCCCATGTCGGTTCGTAGGGTTGTGTCTGTGTCGCGTGTCCTGGTAGTGAGAGGAGTGAGTGGGGTTCTACGTCATTCGATGGGATGACTGCAACTGCCGGTTAGAATTGTAGTCTTTAGTCTGGAGTAGACGGGACGCGATGCAGTATCTAGTACACAGTAGAAGTGACGGGATGGTGTGGGGGCGTTGTCGTGGTAGTCCGAGAGTATGGGGTGATAAGTGTTTAGGCGATGGGCGTGGGCGTTGACTTTTCCGCGGAGATGTCGGAGGTGGGAGACTGCTGGTGGATATACTATAGTAGAGTTTATCGGTTAGAGTGGGTTGATTTGGTTGATTTAAGTCCCTTGTGACGTGTGCTGTAGGTCCGTAGTACTGTTTATTCTCTGATGTTATGTAGTGGTGTACTGTCTGCGTTGCAGTAATATAGTTATGATTTATTATGATAAATAATTATGCGACATCCATTGACTAATTAACAATCACCCCGTAGTACTATCTCTAGACCCCAGGCCGCGAGAAGACCAACATATGTATACTTATTAATGCCCTCTCAAGGCCCTCCTCAACACCCTCCCCAACACGCTACCCCATCAAAGTAGTCAGGGTTCAATCAATCATACTGCCACGCCGCAATCGAACTCCCATTCGACACCCACGGGTAGGCAAGAGCCTCAAACTGCAAGCAATCACTCACATTCCCCGACGGCACCGTCGCATTCTTCATGGCCGCAAAGACCTGCCACGCACCCCCGTTCACCTCCTCATCCTCATCCAACGGACAAGCCATGAACCCCGTCGCCCCGAAGCCTGTATACGTCCATTTTCCATAGCTCGTACCTGGCGTGTAGCAGAACGTGCTCGTCGACGCACCAGGGTCCATGTATGACGTGTGCGCTTCGACAAATTTCAATGCGCCGGTGGGATCGACGTAGATTTCTTGGACGTACCCGGAACTCTGTTCATCATTAGCCATTTTTGTGGTGAGAAGGAACTTGGGAATGGTAGGTAGGCATACCAGGTAGTTGCTGTAGTCGATCACGGTTTCATCTCCTGGTGGGCATGCATCGTATTCAGCTACATCCTCCGGACATGCGGTGGAGGTTGTGCCTCCTAGGTAGAAGTTGGTATCGGCGGCGGTAAGGGGGAGGTTTTGGATGAAACTGCCGGAGCGGATGGATATGACGGTGAAGGCGCCGGTGCTGCAGTTTGTGGCGGAGAGGACTGGGGTGAGGAGTGTGAGGAGGGCGATAAAGGTAGCTAGGAAAGTCATTGTTGTGGTATTGAGGCACTGGTTGTTGGTGAATTGGGGTTGATGTGATGAGTTGTAGTTCTGATGTTAGATGAGATGGTCAATCGCATATTTATATTTGTTGAATGGTTGAAACTGACAATGTCAACTCGGTCTCATCATCATTCTACGATAATCAATCAGGCGTACAATGATCGTCTGAGCTTGGCTATTCTAACTGAGACCTGCATCCGCATTTCTCCGTTATGCCTATCCTGATAGGACAGAACATCTGACAAGCATGAAGCTATACGCGTCGTTGGAATTGTCTTACCTGTGACTACTTTCTACCGAATCAACAGGCCAGCTATACGGGTGGCTGCTTACAAGTAGTTTGATTGGGTTGGGCGGGACCGGCCGGGATAAGTCTACTGGGATATTGATAGGACATTGTCAGAAAAATGCATCATTGTGCATGAGGCTGGGTTAATTATAGTTCCGTGTCCGTCTAGTGGGACGCCGAGGAAGCTTACTTTTAGTGTGACTATTCTAAACCGTAGTGGCTGTGTAAAACATTGTGTACTGCCAGGAGATTGTTCGTTCTGGTCCTTCTGTTTTGATCACTCGGTTCTTGCCTACATCCACCCTCGTGCCCCGTTTTGTTATACGCGTACGGCTCAAAGCTTCGTATTATCTTCTTTAGCACGGTCCCTCAAAAATACTAGTATATTCCGGGTATAGCAAGCGCAAAAATAAATCTTGACTCACACTGTCTTCTGAATCCCTCCCATGACTAGCGCAGTCTCCAGCTGCTGTGCCACCTCAACGCCCTCGAAACCACGATGCAGCAATGACCCCTTCTGACATGCCTCCCAGTCAAAACAAACCAGCTTACGCCGATTGGGCGTGAACAACAAATCAAGCTCCTCTAGCGACCGCTGCGCAGTCTCCGGATAGAACAAATACGTAACAAAAGAAGTCGCGATGCAAATACCCCCGAAAACGAAGTATATCTTCCATGCAGCCTTATTTAACGCTTCAGGCATATATAAACCGAGCCAAAAATTCGCAAACCAATTAATGCAGGCAGAAAGTGCTGTCCCTCTGCCTCTTGCGGAGATAGGAAACACCTCATTCTGATAAGTCCAGGGCAACACAGCGCACGTCGAGCCAAAGGAAATCATGTATAGAGAGACAAATGCCACAGCAGCATTGCCGGCGTTGACGTTCGCAAAACTGTATTTCAACTGCTGGGATCCAGCATCGAAATGCGGCGAGCCGTAGCCAACTAGCAACATGCCAACAATAACCATGCAGATACCCATGAGGCTTGGTCCGATAATTAGTGGCTTTCGTCGACCGTACCGATCGATCATGACGGTCAGCGAAAAGGAGGCAACTAGGTAGATGGAGGATCCGATGCCGTTCGCTAGCATTGCCGCTTGGGTCCCAGTGCGTCCAGTCTGCGCGAATACTTTGGCTGCATAGTAGAAGACGATGTTGACGCCGCTGATGTTCTGCATAAATTGCAGACCCATTGCTAGCGCAGTGCGACGCCGGTATGGCGCTTTGATGAGTAGGCTCAGGTATGACGGGGGAGGTGCGCGGCCCTCATATTGCACGACTACTCGGATTTCTTGGAACTCGGCTTGTACGGATGGATTGGAGCAGTCACCGTGGCCATGAAGGTCTGCTAAAACTTGAAGTGCCTCGTCGCCGCGATCGTGTTGAAACAGCCAGCGTGGAGATTCTGGGCGTACATAAATCAAAATACCCACTAAGACCCCAGGTACTAGCTGAAAGGCAAAGCACATACGCCATGCGGCTGTTCCTGAAATCTTGAGCGCTCCATATTGTACCCAGTAAGATACTAGCAAGCCAATAGCGACTCTGCACTCATTGTGGAGGACATAATGCCACGGACTGTGTGGGGGGTTGTTTCGGCGGTATACCTGACACTCTCAGTAAAACCATGAGATCGGGGGAGGGAATAATTTAGAGACAGCAATAAAGATAATATGCTTACAGAGAAATAGATTGGAATAGGCCACCCGCTCCGAGTCCATTGACAACTCGGCCCGCAATAAACATGGCTTGGTTTTGTGCAGCGACAACAACTGCTTGCCCGATCAGATAAATAGCTACACAAATGAGAAGCGTGTATCGACGGCCGAATTGGTCAGCGAGAAAGAACCCAATCAGTAGCGAACCCCCAAACTCGCCAGCTTGAAGAGCCGCTGTCATGGCACCTTGTCGGTAAGCTGATGGCGTATCAAAGTAGGAAAGAAACTGCGGCATAGTTAAGATGTCGCTCATGGACGCAATCTCCCATCCGTAGGCGAAGCCCGCTATTGATGGTGGCAGGGCGTAATACAGCCCCGATCGCAGGGTTACACTCATGTCTGTTCAATCCCTGTAGGTTGGTTAACAGCGTTTGATAATGTCAGTTCTAATATACCAGGGTCAAAAAAAACTAGCATCTGGTGGCCGTGGCTTCAGTCTGGGGAAGATGCGGGGCCCTGCGCGCCAGCTCATCATTTCTCCGACCACCATAAGATTGTGCCATAAGCAATTCCAATATATTGTTTTGATAGCCGGCTGAGTGGATGAGGGGTGAGCATAAGAGGGAGATCGCCAGAGTAGCTGACTGGCAAGCGCACATACGAATGAATATGTGATTGGCCCTGCAGGCCGATAAAGCTTACCATGCAGCCAGCTTGCAGGGTATGAACATCCCGCTAGTGACACCTGGCACTATGCTTGAGCAAACCATACTTTTGCAGGTCAGTCTTGTCTTTTTGGTGCATTAATCGCTGCTAATTACGTAGTCTCTACCCTACACTTCTTAACGAGGTTATAGGCAGAGCACGAAATCGCCATATGTATCGCTCACACATTCTTGCTGTCCTGTGACATAAAGTCATGTCCGTATGTAATATTATTATAGAGATCGTCACGCAGCGACCAAACTATGTATGGTTCCATCTGAACACGTACGCTCCCGTACAAGCTAACAGCTTAAAGCACATTTGACATATCGTCCCCGGCACCCAGCCCTTGAAAATACTGCTCAAACGCCTCCATACTCCACTCGCACACGGTCCCATCGCCAGGCAGTTCTCCCGTCCCAGTTTCTTCGGCGAGCTCCTCAGCCGGCCCTGGGCCATAATCTTCCGGCACCAATTCGAGTCCGTTCGGTACATCGATCTCGCTCTCGTAACCCCGAATAGTCAAAGCACGGGCCCTTAGTTTCTCAATGACCGCCCATTTTCCAGTTTCCCGTCCAGTTTCATCTTCTCTCCAATACCCATATGCTTGCTCAACGACCCCCCACGCCTCTTCCCTCCCTTCGTTCACCCCGTCTGCGCACAAATCATTCAGCAGCAACTCCAACATTCCCCACTCCATATCTCTCTGAACTAACCAAAGCCACTTCTGCCCTGGCTCATGCTCTCTCAGCGCGAGTGCTCGCTGAAGAACCTCTACACAAATAGGTCGAAAATTGTGTCCAGGCTTACACACCGCTAATTTTATTTTCACAAGGAAGAGCTGAACAGTTGCCGCGGTTATAAACTCTAGGTGATTTATGGAGCCGCAGTGAGAGAAATATCGGGTTTCCAGTGATTGTCGGAAGTCGTTGATGGCCTTGTGCTTTTGTATCGGGGACGAAGTGTGATAGTCATTTGCTTGGTTGAAAGTTTCCGAGAAAACGATGCGTCGGGTGAAGGATATGAGTTCGAAATGGAGAAGTTGGAAGAGCGTGCTGGATGCAGTGGCATTGGATGGGACCGGGGATGGGAGCCCTGCGTCAAGGATGAGGCATGGAAACTGTGTGGTGAAGGATGGTTCAAGGATATAGGGGGTTGTGTTGTGATCCTCTGCGGTTCGGGTGTCAAGGGTGACGAGCTGCCACCATAGGTGACGTCGGGATTCAGTCTCCAATACTGAATTGTTTTGTGTTGTGCCGTCGCGGTGGAGACCCATCCGGTATGCCATGTTGATGGCTGTAGGGAGGTGGGTTATAACTGATGGGCCGTGGCTGTCTAGTCGGGCGCAGGTCTAGTACAATTATTAGCTGAGTTGGGGCGAAAGGACTGAATCACGCACAAGGTATAGAATGAAGGCTTGTAGGAGAGTAAATTCCAAGGACGATGAAAGGTCGACTCGTGCAAGTTGGCGCTCGACTGCATTGCGATATCTATATTGTTAGCTAGGTTCGAGTTTGAGGACATGGCTATCTTACCGTTCCAGTAGCGTGGGCCTATCTTCATTAAGCTTATCCAGGCACGTGGTCGATGGCATACTGGTTACTGAAGCATAATATATCGCGAAGAGCAAACATTGTTTTCCCACATCCACAGTGGTATCTGCTGTGATAACTCGCATAAGGTCTTTCTGAACACTAGGCGTATGGAATACCCTGAGCACAGGATCAACGGTATCCAGGTACCAATGCCACAGAATGGATATTGTGACAGGCGATGGGTGCTGTCGTTCGGTTGTTTCTTTCGCGCTATCAAAAGTGCTATCAAAAGTGCTATTTGCGCAGATTGGAGGCTCTATTCCATTTTCCGGGCCATGGCCAGTATCGTAGTTTCCATGAGGATTCGAGGGTCTCGTTTGGAGAATCTCACCATCCCCCGTAGTGTCGGATGCCGTGAATGAGACTAAATGGCGTAGTAAGTGTCTAATCTGACCAAAGTCCTCGCTCAGAACTCGTAGCGTATCGTCGATTCTATCAAGCCGACTCGTGACACTGACATTCCCTGAGTCTGGGCTCCGAGAGCGCCTTCTCGTCGGCGGATAAACACATGCCGCTCTAATCTTTACACAATAGGAACAAGGCAGTGACCTATCACATTTGATCTTTCGCCGACTACATTCGATGCAGGATCTCCCGGATGCGATTGTCCGACGTAGCATTTTTGTCTATTGATTGACAAGATAAGAAGACGTATCCCAACGTAGGCAGTTTTGGGCAGGTGAGAGTGTGAGTGAAATGATGTGAGGAGGAAAGCAATCAGTGATTGGGTAGGGCGGACAGCGGAGCGCAGTCCGTATATTTATAATCATGATGAATCATCTACTTAGAGGTGGGTGATGGGACGTAAGCACTAAGCATTGAGCTGTTGGGGCTAGTCCCAAGTTAGGGTTGACATTAGCGTTTTGGTGTGTATACAACTGATCATCAAGTAGATTCATTCCCTCAAAGGCAAACATAAATAGAGGCTATGTTCCCCCAGTTCTAGCTGCAAGTTTCATAGCAGATTCGAGCAAACGATCAATTCATACCACATCTTCCACTTTTATCAGACCAAAATGGCCGTCCCAATCAAAGTCACTATCATTGGGGTATGTCTTTCGTTTCTATGTTTCTTCGGACACCGTACTGACCAACACAGGCAACTGGATTGATCGGTCAAATTATCCTCAAGGCATTGAGCTCGAATGCGAGAATCGCCGTTACCGTCCTATCCCGCCAAGAATCATCCGGCACGACTGAGTTTCCACCCGGCGTTACTGTCCATAAAACCGACTTTTCGCCCTCCAGTCTCCAGTCAATCCTTCGTGGGCAAGATGTGCTCATCTCCGCAGTTGGTGGGACTGCCTTCACTGAACAAAAGAAGTTCGTTGATGCTGCGATCGAGGCAGGCGTGAAACGGTTTATTCCCTCCGAGTTCTCGACCAGCAGCGAAGATGATGCCGTGATCCAGCTACTCCCTCTATTTCAGCAGAAGAGAGATATTATTGACTATCTGAAAGAGAAAGAGAAAAACGGGTTGAGCTGGACTGCAATTGCTACTTCTGGGTTGTTCGACTGGGTGAGTTGTCTTCTCTTACCATATCTTGGATATGTTATGACTGATCGATATTCTAGGGACTTGCATCTGGGTTCCTCGGCTTTGACATCAAAACGAAGTCTGCAGTGATCTGGGACGGTGGTGTCACATCGTTCACCATGACGAATGAGGAACAGCTTGGAAAGGCTGTCTTATCTGTCGTCTTACGGTCGGAGGAAACCAAAAACCGCTTTCTATATATTGCGTCGGTCGAGACTACCCAAAACGAAGTCTTGAAGACGCTTGAGGATGTTACAGGCTCACGGTGGACAGTTACTGAGACTACAACTGATGAGCAGGTTGCCGAAGGGCTGAAGAAGCTGAATGTAGGTGATTTTAGTGGTGCGTTTGCGCTAGTTCGGGCGACCGCTTTTGGGAGTACTGCTGGCTTGAAGACGAACTACGTCAGGGATCAGAAGCTCGCCATTGGATTGCTGGGGCTAAATATGGATGGTGTAAGGGAGACTATTGAGCGAGTGGTTGGAGTATAGCTCACCCAGATGATAACTCCCCTGCGATGTGAAATGAATTGTAGTAGATAGTATATGAGAGGGCGGTTTGTGGATGCTCTAATGGATCCTAGATGGTAGTATAATATCTTTGATAGATCGGACTGCCTGATAATAAGAATAAACTCAAGCAGAAGCACCCTAGGTAGGTAATATTTGCAAAACGACTAATGTTCACCCATTGAGACATGTGTACTGGTCAGTTGTTGTCCGAGCAATATTGACACGTGGGTGAATTGTGAACCTGTGTGAGCTCATCTCTCACAAATTAATAAATGCATTACCTGCCTTATCCATCGAAAAATAAACCCTTGTTCCACTCTGCAGCTTTCTTTCTCTCAGGAATGATAGCCTCCCCCCCCCCCCCCCCCCCCCCCCCCCCCCCCCCCCCCACAGCGCTAGAAGATAGGAAAAACCATCAATATCATGGTTTTACGAAGACCCAGCGAAACTGGGGTTCGCTTTAGCAAAGTCTTTTAGCTTGGCTATCACTTCTGGTGTGACACCAACAGTGGAATTCACAATCCGCTGGGTCAAGTTGAACAGAATCTCGCCTGTAGTAACGAATGGACGCTTAGTCCATCCGAGCTCTTGGGGCAGGCGCTCGTTTTCTACGCAATCAACATGTTAGCGGCGCTATGAGCTCATGATTCATCAAGTTCACTCACCAAAAAAGTATACTACCCAAGATCTGTTGGCATACCCAATACCGTCTTCTTCAAATGCAAGCATGTAGGCGGCAGACTCTCCGAAACTGAATGCTGTCCCGGTCTCCGAGATGTTAAAGTCAGGGTTGGTGGCCTTGGAAGTGTTCCACCGGGCTTCATGTGCCTCGGCTGCTTCTTCAATATCAATCAGAGGACTTGTCCAGTACGATTTTGTCTGGTCGAATATTTTCTCGTTGAACTCATGGTCATTCCCGAAGTAAGGGTCCTGGCGACTGGGCGAGTCAGCCTGATTTCCTGATGTGTCTGGGGTTGCAAATACCTCAAACTGGCATCATGCTCTAGGATACCAGGGCGATCAAGGTCACTCAAGGAGAAGGTAGTCGCGTTGGGGTCTTCAACTGTGGTCATGGCCTCTTTATACAGAGCAACAGCAAGGCTCTCTGCAACATTCAGCGTGTTGCCCAGTACATCGACAATATCTTCTTCAGAAATGTCTTTGCCATTGTGTGGTAGAAGCCCGTGATTCGCAAGGGTATTTAGCATTGGGCAGGGGCCTCGCACTGTTGCTTCTTAGTTTTCATCACTAACTTCATAAGTCAGACATACCATCGCCGTGCCCTGGAGGCGACCATGGAAGCAACTTGGCTGAATCCGTGGCCAAGGCCAAGGAAAAGGAAGAGAGAACGGAGAGTAGACTGGCTTTCATTGTACTGGCTTGGTCTCAGATGTCTGACTTGTGTCTTTTGCTAGATAGATGGATGTTTATCTCGGGAGGGTTTATATACGAGCCACCGGGAGGCCGAATACCGCGGGCAACAAATACCTCAAATATTATTGGTGCAGACGATCAAATAATAGATGCAGTGTAACTTTGGTCTGCGTCCTTGTGAGGTTCAAGGAGGGGAGATCATGCATTGCTTACATGCCACTGACAATTTGTTGTGGGTCTTCTGTTCAATTTTTCGACATGGCCATGCAACAGCGCAACCCTGAATGGTAGTTGTGGCACACATGATATTTGCAGACAACCCTGAAGTTAACGGTTTGTATAAAGCATATGCTTTGCATATGATCTCGGGAGTTCACTCCATTGATTTGCGCAGATCTTATTGCTTCTCACGCACAACTGATCGTGTCATATGTATCGACATGCTGAGGCCTGGACAAGGCTCAAGATATCTCAAATTCTCTTTGGTCTGGTGATATGCTGCACAGGATACATCGATACTGGGTCAAAACCTCTCGTTCGTACGCTCAATGCTATTATTTGAGACTCCCCTTACGAGCTACTTATATGGCAAGTTCAATGATGCACTAAATCCTGTTTTGCTAACTTGCCGTAACAAACTATATCCCATGATAGAGGAAACATTACGAGTCATCCCCAGCAGAATTATGATATTAGGACTCTGTACCTGTCGCATTGACTATTCTGTGTACCACAATGTTCATCTATGGGCTAAGAGGCTATAGTCAAAGGCTCCCCAGTCCACGGTCGCAAGCATGTCCATTGGGAGGATACTATATGTGACGGATCACCCAGAGCCGAATTTGGGTACATCGCTCTAAGTTGTATCCCACCGCTGCTTGTCCACCTGCACGATAAAGCGATATTAATCGCATTTTTCACTGGAGCGCTTAGGTATCTCGTTCGTACGGTATTTATCTAGTTTTATCATCACTTGTTTTCTCATCATCTTTGACAACCTGGCTGTGTCTTGAATTGTGCTTTTCTTTTGGACGATTTATCCATGTTATTGTTATAGGAATAATGCGTGCCATGGAGGTGTCAAATCTTCCTATAGAGTAAATATTCACACTGCATAACCCCATGATATATTTTTTTGGAAATTTTATTAATTATTACGACACCTGGTTTGTCTTGTGCAGCTGGGCAGTCAATTGAAGTCGATGTATCCCTTGCATAGGAGGGCCTGCTGAGCAGACCCTACGAGCTGATGAGTATACCGCCTTCACAATATTACTCTCCGAGTACGGAGTATTTAGGGAACGTAATGCTGTTCATATGAAGACACTGTGAACAGTTGGACCTTGTACAGTCACTTACCGGGAAAAGTCTCCTACCGTGACGGCGGTAAGTAAAAAATGCAAAAATGCTCACACTCGGATTCGAACCGAGGATCTCATGATTACTAGTCATGCGCTTTACCAACTAAGCCATGCGAGCTGATTGGTTGATTGCGTCTACATTTCTAACTTACAATTCAATGATACGGATATCGAGGCCCTGCATATATTGGTCGCACATTTAAGGCATTAATGGATGTAGTGTTCACCGGTTAGGCTTCTATATTTGGGTCGCACGCCTCAAGTTGCATCAATAGTATGATGATAGAGATAAAATGATGCACAGTAGGAAAGGGTATCATATATCAATTTCTCTACTTAGCCAGACCGACATAATTCCTAAGAGAATCTCATATGACAGGTCTCCAAATTTATCGTGGATTAAGGTTCAAGGAGATCGATCTCGAGATGTACTATGACAGCTCCAACTTCTCCCTCCCCCGCAGACCGACTGTCCTATCTTGTAGCTTGAGCAGCTGCACCAAAAATTTGTTCATGGTAGCTCGTAGAAACATGATACCGCGTGATCCAGACATGCTATGCCAGCACAAATATATAATTACGATATCCATACATTTAGGGGCATCAATATTTCTGTAGCACAATGAAGAGGATATTCTGACAGATAACTGACTGTATCTAAGGTGAAAACCTCAATTGTTATGCACCGCCTTGCCTATAATAAGACTTACTGACGTGGGTCAGGTTTCAATTCGGTGATTGGGGACAAAGGATAGCATTGGCCTCCAGGTATTACAAAGTAGACGTCCGACATCTTTTATGTAAGTATATTTCTCTTCGACCTCGCACAATATATGGTATATGCCAATATATTGAAACGGCATAGTCGTCATAGGCGCTTTAATAACCCGACGATGATTGCGAACCCAGCCAGCTGGCATACGCAACCATTTAAATCCCATGAGGTATGACATAGTATATATTTTAACTGATACTAAGATAGTTCAATTCATGGTGGTTATGCTACTGCCATGAAAATATTGTGCACCGCAGATTGGCCGTCGTCCAGGCAAGGGATGAAGCAACACACGCTCGTCTCTGAGAGACATAGTAGTCTAGATAATTTTAGAATGGGAGTGAAATAATCACAATTTGCATTGTGATAGCGCTGTTGTCTTCCTCATAGCCTGGCAATTGATGCGCCTTATATTAATTCATGGGGGAGGGGGCCCATTCTCTCCCCAACTAGGTTGCCTCGAAGCAAAAGACAATACAGGCGCATCTTCTCGAACAGTTTCTAAGTCTCCGCAGTGTTCTAGATGCAATAATTAGATGAATCTTTATAGAGCCCATGAGAACCCATTGATTCAAGGGCTATCCTCCAATACATCTTGCCCTGCCATGCTGAATGACCAGCCCCGTGGCTCCACAGCCATACAACGAATAGAATCATCCCAATTGACCATGTCCTCCAACAGAATGCTGCCGCCTGAAAGTAAAATAACTGATATGAATCGAGCCAGTGAAGCTTTTATCGCCCAGCGCAAACGACTCTGTAGTGCTCTTGACGTGAGGAACTTGGTTATAGAATATTTCAATCAGAATCGGCTATCTACATGACGGAAACCGTCGAAGTTGATGAAATATATATTGACTGTCACAACAATAGTTTTTGACACCGCTACTTTGAATACCGTGAAGGTGTGGCAACAGTTCCTTATACCTTTACTTACTGCAATCACATCAGAAAGAGACGATTTGTCTAAGCTGCTTCCCATATTAGTGACATCTAGGTTAAATCAATGCGTAAGGCCGGGTGGGTCATATCAATAGCATAGAAGCCTAGCTTTCGAATCACACCCGTCAACCGAAAGTAAATCTTAATCGTTATATTATTATCCCGTAAACCTTACTAGAATTCGTAAACCTTACTCGAATTGGATGCCAAAGTTGCCATGACTCGCACCCGGTTCTCCTACTGGGCCCTCGTGGGTGGTGGTTGTTAGGGATGACTAAGGACCTTAAATGAAACACGGAGCTCATACCTTTATGGATGGAGTAGTGAAGAAGGCGCCGTAGTCTCCTATTGGCGGAAGATTAACCACCCTGAAAGTGTTGAAACAACTGCAGGTGTGTCTGTTAGTCTGTTGACGCCGAAAACGGAGGACCCCTGCATAGGGGCTGTTCCAAGGTTTAGAGTAGGGCCCATAAGTGGAGAACGGCCATATAGGCATCAGGGAGGGTCCATATTGCACTTCCCTGTAAGGAACCAGATTAGCCGTTGGGCCCAAGGTTGTTGACGGCGGTTATTGAGTTTGAGTAACCGCTAGAGCAAGCTCATGACTAAATTTAACCTACCCGGTCATTAGGAAAGGTCATGGCGACTCTCCTACCAAGATTCAGCGAGCATCTTGACCTTCGGATATTCAATACCTTCGTGCGCCAAATACAGGAAAAGAAATGGCAACCGTGAAGACAAGTCATGAAGCAGTCCAGAGCCAGGGAACTCCTAGTTCTGCTTGTAACTTGGTTGTAAGGTGCGACTGACTTGAAAGAGAACATTTCCTGATGGTGTCGGGAATCGGAATTAATTACCCACAAAGTGGGTCAAGACGGGAAGTCAGGGTAGGAGTCTGCGGCAGTAGTCTTGTCATGGGGGATCCATATAGATTGACTCTTTGCTTGGCTTCTGGACACCCTGGGGCCAGCATGTTTGTGTCTGCACACCCCATTCGTGCAATGAAAGGCGCAAGAGCCAAAACCCCCTCAACCAGGGCAATACTCCCGGGGGCCGAAACCCCACTGGTGGATATTCCCCCGAAACATCAGACAATGAACGCTAATAGTTACTGAGGAGAGAGAGAGAGAGTTATAGGGACGAAATTTGAAAGCTACTTCACAGTTTCTTAGAACATATAAGAAGGTATCTCGTCCTCGCGGTCCGTCTACCAGAACAACAAGACCACACGAGCTCCCGCATCTACTCGCATCTACCACACACAACTCCATCAGAATGTACACCCGCACCCAGGTTCTCGCAGCTCTTGCTGCTCTTGGCGCCACCGGCGTGAACGCCGCCATGGGTCCTGCTTTCAGCACTGGTCCCGTCTCCGACGACTCCTTCATCCGTGAAGCTACCTCGACTCTTGTCCTCCCCAACGGCCCTAGTGGCGGCTCCTCCGATGCTATCACCTCCCTGTGGGTTGGTATGGGCACCTCCAACGGTGACCTGATCCAGTCCATTGCCGACAACTGGCAGCAGAGCGACTGGACCATGTACGCCTACACTCTTAAGGAGACTAGCGGTTAGTGACCACGGAAACAGACAACAAACAAAACAATTACTTACCTGCTCCTCTCCACAGCTACCTCCCAGGAGCCCATCTACGGTGATGGCCAGGCTGACGGCACTAAGGGCGACAAGGTCACCATGCACTGTAAGTGACATTTACAAGCCGTCGTTTCTGCCTCACAGCTAAATCTCGCGATCTACAGACAAGTTCGATGACTCGACCGGCAACTACACCCAGACCGTTTTGATTAACGGCAAGACCGTCTCTACTCTCTCTACCAGCGATGGCAAGGCTCAGGGCTGGGGAAGCGCTGTCGAGTGTGCCGAGGACAACTGCGGCACCGTCGGTGCTCACTGTAAGTTGAAGAATGACATTACCAAAGTATATTCACCGTGCTAATAAGACTGCTCATTAGCTTGGACCAACACCAAGATTATCCTTGATGTTGCTGACCCCAACTACATCAACACCCTCGCCAAGGGTAGCGGCGTCACTGGCGACATGTCCACCAGCGACGGTGGCAAGACTTGGACTGTTACCACCATTAACATTCCTGAGTTCTCTTTCTCTTCCTAAACGCACTGCATATTACATCAGAACCCATCTGGATATGGGGATTGCAAGGATAGTGCTGTGACTTTTACCTTCGTCTTTGTATTAATATTATTCAATAGCATTGAATGCCTATTAATATTCTTTATATACTGGTGTTGTTGTTTTTATCCTTGACAAGAGGAGAGGGGAGTCTTCAGGTCGTGATTGCACGCTAAGCCTGGGAAACTGATGGAACCTGCTGGTATGCACACCAGAAGGGCCTGTCACTCCGAGATAACTTAGATTTCCCCAATTTCCTCGATTATAAGCAGCCACGTATCGCAATACGCAATTAGATCAGTTATAGCACAATATATCTATTTCTAACTTGCACTCAATGGTACCAGGTTAATGCCTTAGCAAGATGGCCACGTCGCGCGGGGTTGCTGCACGATGCGATCCTTTGCGAGCATAGCCACGTTTCCGCCTCTCGGTCAGATTAGATGTCAACAAGGCTCAGTGTCCACACATGGGTGAATTGACAGCGCGTACGGTCGCGAAAACAGTTTTCACATGAGATGACATATTACTTAAAATTCCTTCATATCTAAGAACCTTGACTTTGTGTTATTCAGACACTTGTTCAACAATATCTTATCGCTGGCTACAGTAATAGGACCCCTGGACGGAGTGCTATCAACTCCACATACCAACACGGCAATGCATCAAATCAAACGGAACCACAACTTTAGCGTGAGGCGATGCACAGATGCTGCTATCTTACCCACGCAGCCTTGCGATCTAGGCTACGGAGTGTCATTCTACCAATGCTTTAAATCTCCTCGAGGCCGGTGTTAGCACCGATTGTCCTTCATTATCGGCACTGGATGGCATCAAAAATAGTCATGGCTGGGAAGAGGAAAAAAATGAATAGACGCGTCACTGAGAAAGTTGTGGACATGGTCAATATCCAGAATAAGCCACAAACGACGAAAGCCGTCTCTGAGAAAGTCGTTGATACTCCAGCAGTCCTGTTTATACCGTCTAATGTTGAAAACAAGGGAGGATGCTCATCGAAAACCTTGAAAAAGTTTCACTGCATTCTGGGCGATCGCTTTGGGCGAGATCGCAAGTTTTACCCAAATACAAAAGATGAGAATGGCATGACCCCGCTTCATTACGCAGCGCAGTTATTGCCATCGGGAGATGATTTTTGGGGTGAACCCGTGGAGGAACAACAGATGTGGCAGTCGCTACTAAGAGGCCTTCATAAGGATGATCTAAATGAGCAGGATGATGATGGTCGTACCCCAATGTCTTATGCAGCAGTGGCTGGAGATGCGTGGGTTGTGAACAAATTGTTCGAAGCTGGAGCTGACCCCTACCAAAGTGACAAGAACGGGCGATCACCTTTGTCCTGGGCGGCGCAATGCGGCGGAAAAGAAATTATTAAGCTACTAAGTTGGAATATTAGATATTTCAATGACAAAGACAACCGAGGCTGGACACCCTTCCATTATTTCCTACAAAGGGAGCCTGAGCCAACTGAAGAATACGATCTCGGTGTTGTTCCACTCATCTGGGATAAAAGACATTCCCGTGAGGTTGAATACTCTCATTGGCGCAAAGCCGTGGAGAATCCCTACGTGCATTCACGAGTGCCAGCAGACTATATGAGCACATCCTTGTTATCTGAGCCTGATGCTTTTGGCATCACTTTTCTGTCGCGTGCTGTACAACTTGATAGGATTCTGATCATCGCAATACTTCTTACAATTGAGGATATCGATATAGGCATGCCAGACAGAGATGGCAAAACGCCGCTGTGGCGGGCGATAGAGGCCGGAAATCGCGCAATTGCCGAGTTACTGTGGAAATATGATGATGTGACTTTGAGGCTACTTTCGACAGGTGCTCACGCTCGATCTGAACATCTGGACTGGCTTGTTACCAACAATTAATCGTTTGCCAGACTGCAAGGACCAAACAAAGAGACCGCTTTTCATATAATGCTTGACATCCCTAATATTGGCGTTATGGAGCATCACCTCCAACAAGCCATAGTCGCCCAAGTACCTGACTTGCCTATGGACACAGTTGAAGCTCCAACAAATGTGAGCTCATTATTTCTTGAGAAAGCCGACAGACGTGGCTTAACCCCTTTAGCTTTGGCAAAAGAGAAAAGACTGCTACCGATAGTGAAGCTTTTCCTTCGGTGGCGTGCCAAAGTGGATTGCTTCAAACACAAAGCGGACTGGTTTAATCTATTGCCGGACAGTAAGAATATGGCATCTTTCTGCAATATGGAGGAAACATATCGGAATGTTTCATTTGAGCTGGTACGAAAGAAGAACAATATCCTTGTCTTCGACTTTTACCAAGCAGAGGATGTAACTCCACAAGGACATCTTGTCGAACGATGCGATATGCTTCAGCATCTTTGGTGAATACTGCCTTTTAATAAGTACCTTCTTTAGATGCTAACAGGAAGGATTGGCAGGCTACACAATAGCAAACAAAATTGGATAGCCTCATTGCAGCATAATCTCTACCATAATACAGCTACTCATACAGCCGCGTGCATCTTGACACAAAACTGTCCGAAATAACTTGTGTTCTAACAGCAGAATTCCCCAAACCGGATGCAGGATTCTTCAAGAGACATAGCCCATTCCACTCTCAGGGTATAGCAAGCCATAAATGCTGGTGCATATCGTGGACAAGGCCACAATTTGTGAATACAAACGGCGACGTACAGCCGGTTTTCTACAGCAGTACTATCTCTCACGGCCAGATTCCTGCAAGCGACGACAAGTTCCTACAGCAATACATTGGCGAATTATTTCAGGAATGGTCCCTGATATGCGATGAAATAGAGACGCATGTCATTGATCATGTACGTCGACCCTTTACCCCGGATCTTGCGTCTTATGCTGACAGCTCTGACCACTAGTGCAATGGTGACGAGACGAGCGCCACTGTTCTGATTACTGACCTAGCTGATGATTCACGTTACTTGGCCACCATTCAGAAGGCCCTTCAAGACCAGGTAAAGGGAATACAGAAGGCAATCAGTGACTATCGCAGGGTGGATGTATACCACAGTCTTCGTTTGCAAGAGGCAGAAGAGGGTTTCGGACAACTGAAGGCCACTATCACTGATCGACTAGATAAGCAACATGAACGCGTGCGTGATCTCCGCCAAATGGTAAGATGCCCACAGTATTAACCTTGTTGAATCGCTCTTACAGTATCAGGAATTTGCTAGGCTTTCCGTTGAAGAAACGGTTTTCATGAGACGTATCAGTCTAATCACTGTAAGACGATACATTGGCTTTCTCTAATCACATTGCTGACGAGGGCAGTTTATCTTCCTACCACTGATGTTTGCATCGGTAAGTAGTAGTGTCAAATGACTGCCATTTCTTTTTCCTTTCTCTGCTTTTGTCTGCCCCAGCTGATAGTAACAGAGTCTCTTTGGCATGAACGTCAACGCGCTGCAAAGCAACCCTGACTGGCGCTGGTATATCGTGTTCGGCGCCGCATCCCTTCTTTTGACCTATGCCTTATGGAAGGTTTCTGATCAGGTTAGTTCCAGTTGCCTTGGAAATTCTCCACCCACTCCCCTCCTTCCCCTTCCTTACTGGCCCTATGTAAAATCCCCCCCTTTTTTCTTCTGCTTCAGTACATAATTTGTGCTAATGCGTTATCAGAACATCCGAATATCCCAGATATGGTCTGAATTACGGGCGGGACGGGCCATGAAGAACAAGACGAAGGATTGTGAAGGCTAAGAATTGTTACTATTGACTTTGTTCGGATTGTTGTGATTTGTTGGTGAGGGGGAGCATTGGGGCGGTAATTGCTTTGTTTTTGCTTATCACGGATGGACTTCGGGATTGGCTAGCTTGATTACAAATGTTGTCTCTGTTCTCATAACCCGCAGACATATTCTGAAATTGCTCGTGCACAGTTTTTTAATGCATTAAACTGCAAGAAGACATGTTCAGTTTCAAATAGTAATAAGTGTTATATACAGTCAAGTAATATTTTTGACTAAGTAAGCTAGTAAAAGTCTTCTTCACACGTATACAGATTAAAGAAGACACAAAAGGCAGAAGAAGTACAACGACTATCGAAGCGAAGATACTACATACAGACGGATAGAGTTCCTATCAAAGGACCTTTCAAAATCCATATTTTCTCAACCAACCCGCTTAGAAAACGGGCATCTTGAAAGCGTCAAAAGTGTAGTCCCAAGTAGCAAGGGACTTGGAATCGTGAACACAAGAGAAGCTGGAGTTGCTGTTCCAGAGGGGACGAGAAGGCCACTGGCAAAGCATCTGGGTCTCACCAGCATAGGTACCGGAGGAGACGGTGGCGTTGAGGCGGGAAGGCTTGTTGCCGTTCTCAACCCAGTCGATCATGATCTCCATGTTGTCCTCGGGGTAAGGACCAGGCTGGAGGGAGTTGGTACCGCAGTGAGCAGCGCCGGGGACGAGGTAGAGCTGGTACCAGTCGGACATATCCTGCAGGGACTCGGTGTAGGTGGTGTTGGGGTACATGGCCTGACGGACAGCCTGCCAGTAGTGGACGGACGAGGCGGTGGGGATACTGGGGTCGGATTCACCGTGGTAGTGGATCATCTTACCACCGGACTCCTTGAAGGTGGTGAGGTCGATGACGGTGGTCTGGAGACTGTCAATGTAGCGAATCATACCGATGTTCATCCAGTCGACCAGGGTGTCGTAGGTGACGTTGTCGAGGTTCTCCAGGTTATCGATGTTGAGGAGCTGCACGAACTTTGTCACGTACTCGCCACCGGTAGAGGGGATGCTCAGAGTCCAGGAGTCAGTGGTGGAGTCGTACTCGGTGTCACCATCGGACAGCTCAGCGGCGATCTGCCACGAGAGATAGGCACGCTTGCCGTTGGAGTCGTGAAGACCGTCGTAGATGGCCTGGGCGAGAGCAACGCCCTCAGCGGTAACACTGCCGTTCTGGGCGGGCTGGTAGCTAGTAGTGCTGCCCTCAGCACGCTTGCTGAAGCCAAAGCCCAGGGAGGTGTAGTTCTGCTCAGCGCAGTAGTAGGACTCGCCAATGATGGAGGTGAGGTTGAAGTTCAGCATGCAAAGGTCAGTACGGGAGACAACGCCATCGGTACGGCCGTCGAGAGGGTCACAGGCTTCGATGGTAGCGTTGACGATCTTGTCAAGTTCGCAAGGGGGAGGGTAGTAGTCCATGGTGTGTTCAATAGTGGCAGGGAAGACGTGGTGAACCTGCTGCTGAGCAAAGCGGAAGGCAGGGGCACCGGCAATGACACCGTCATATTCATCTCCCCAGCGCTGGACCTGACTCATACCCTCACGACCACCATCGGAGCAGCCCTCGTAGTAGGTGTAGATCTTCTTGTCGCTGGAGAGACCGTAGAAACCACGGGTCAGGGGCTTGGCGATCTTGGTCATTTCACCAAGAGCCTGGTAGGAGAACATGTAAGTAGCATCCCAGTTGATCGAGCCGTTGCCGTAGAGGACGACTTCATCATAGCTGTAGGAGAAGGCGTCGTAGCCGGCGTCGGTGGCGCCGGAGGCAGCACCGTACTCGAGACCGCCAGTAGCATCGCTGGACAGGGAGAAACCACCACCACCAGCAACGTAGAAACGGTTCTTGAAGTCGGAAGGAGCGGGCAGGGCGTACTTCACGACAACCTTGTCACCCTTCCCGGTGTGGGTGTAGGTAACAGTGACATTGCAGTAGTCGTAGGAGCCGGAGCTACCCATGCCAGAGCTGGCATCGGTGACGGTGTTGGCAGTGACGGCGGAGGGGATCAAGTTGATTCCCAGGAGGGTGCCGTTGGAAGGAAGGGCGGACTGAACATTGGAAACAGTGCAGAGATCGGACAGGGAACTAGCCTGAGCAGTGGCTGCTGCCAGAGCAGCGACAACTGCGCGAGTGGACTTGCGCATGTTGAGGGTCACTAAAGAGTGTGGAGGTGGATTGAATGAGCGAAGGTGCAGACTGTAAAGACTGACTGAAGCGTCTGATGAAGAAGTTTGTTTGGGGTGGCGGGTGGCTGTCTTATATAGAACGGTCAGCTACTCAATATTGGGGACATACCGTGATAGCCGTCTCCTGTGGTTGGGGTGGAGTGAGAAGGCTATTCATCGGCCGGGCCCACCAGGCTTGACATTCTGCAGCAGAAATTAACTCAGATTCTGACACTCGTCACCCGATTGCGCGGCCCGGAACAGTATTATCCAGATTATGGGGTTGAGTGACATCAGTAGATCACTGTGACTGCTGGCTTTCGCATGTCATGGGCGCAGTGTGATGGAAAGATCCTGAAGGGGCTGTGATCAAATGAAGACTATCTCTCATATTGCAGCGCAGCCAAGTGTTAGCGATAACCTGTTTGTCGGTCATTGCTGCTTGCATGCTTCCCAAACTTGGTCAAAAGGGAGCTGAAACTCCGCCACGAGTAGCAGGGAGTAGCAGCGACAATCGCATAGGATGCATCTAATCTGCATCTAATCAGGGCCTTCGCCAAGAGGGTCCCAATGTTAGGGCGGTAATAACCTTATCCGGGTGGAGTCAGTAAATCTCCGCTCGAGCAGTCGGGCGCCTTGGCAGGCCACGAGAGGTCCAACCAGGGTCTCGGCTTCTAGGACCCTTTTCGGCACTCGCATTTGCCTGATTGTAGATGTCACTGAGAGGTGAACAAGATTCGACACATATACAAGCTATGAAGTCCATACTCGATGCGAAATGATCTACTCTGCCCCAAGCAAGCAGTTCACAAAGGCTAAGCTTTCGGTTCCTGCGCGAACTCGTGCGCCAAGCCAATTAGGGCATGGCTGGTTAGTGCCAAGTCGAGGCTTCGTCAGCTCAGTATCATGTTAAGGCGGCAGGTCGAAGACCCCATGTCTATTTTCGAGCCTAGCGAGAGCCATCTTGAGCGTTTTAGATTAGTCGACAGATTCGTCATACCACACACACCCCATGGTCGGGGTCTGCTAAGTGCTAACCTCTTCAGTGAACTCCGCAAGGAACCCGCAAACACCGTGGCCACAAAAACTTGGTCCAGGCCGCGGGTGGCAGATGAATCCTAATCGACCCTGTTCAGCCCTGCGGTGAAAAAAATAATATTGATACGTAACTGTGCTGATCACAATCTTGTTTCTAGCTTTAAAGAAGGACCCATTTGGACGGACTACTCACGGAGTGTTATTCTGTTGACAACATCCTACATGCTTGTAATATCCGTGAATATTGAGACTCAATAAGCCGGGTACGGAATCCAATTAGTTCAACAGCCATCAGGGTGGCATACAGCAGGGGAAATGCATACGTACACGCCCATCAATCCGTGTTTGGCTTCATGTAAGTCTGAAGAGCCGATAACGGCTGTTCCACACTTCAACCCGATCTAAGTAGACTAGGTTGGTTGCCAAGATGATCGGCGCTTCCGCTTAGTCATTCATACCCCCATCATTCAGGGCATTGCTCCCAGTCTGGACATCACTATTGGCCATTATTTCAGCATACCCATAGCAACCTTTCCAGATTAGCTCTAGTCTAAACTGCCAAGAATGGGTGTCTTCCGGTGGCACGAGAATAGCATACTTTGCACAACCTTCTCGCCCATCAACTTGGGAACGTGAGCCCCGTTATTCCCAGTACACCATTCCTTGGTGTTTCTGTTTGCTTCCACACTTCTAGCCCCACTGTTTGAGATCATTGCCCCTTGCGCAGCAAAACCATCGCTGGGAAATAAACTGAGAAGTATCATAATCTAGTACCATCCGATGTTGAGTTGACTTGACGGGAGACGTGCTCCGTTTTTCCTAGCAGAAATCTCGGCCTATGATCATAGATAAAAGCTCTCACTAAAAAGCGTTTCGGGGATACTCATCTCCAGTCGGAGTGGATTACCTAAATGGTCCCCTCGCCCAGCGTGCGCCGGCGGACGACCGTACCTTCTTAATTGACTCGAGGGTGCTGGCAAATTTGCAGCTGCAGAAAAGCCACTGGTTCATGACTCTCCATATAGCAATCCAAATTCAAGTTTGGTGGCCTATAGGCGAGTCACTGTTGACTGGTGTTGAAATATCAACTTGACTTTGTAGATTCAGCAAATATTATACGTATAATTCACAAGAGTGCCAAGGGTTCCGTATATGGCCTAGATGGCTTTGTAACCATAATAACTTCTCGGCATAGGACAGCTCAGAAACCAGTTAAGTTCGTGACCTTATCAAAGTGCCACCAGACACCACAGGTGAAAGGTATCCTACTTCTGTCCTACTGCTTGCCCTCTGGTTCAGATGCCAACACCAAGTGACCATATCATGAAACCCAAGGATGGAGGAGGCGGTCCTTAGTCCTTCTTATCATTACGTTTGAAAAAGCTCATATGTGGGGATCCACTGCTCCATATCCAGCTTCATGGAGGTGAGCGAATGAAGCGTCGATATTGGGAGTGCATGGCACTTGCTGATGAGGCTGGACGCCAGCAATCAAGATGAATCCCTAATTCTGATGAGCGTAAATTGATGCCTGCAGCAACATCAACATAACTGCGCTGGCTATATTGGTTGACTTCAACAACCTCTATTAAATAAATTGCTCATGTTCGAGAATGGTTTCCGGTATCAAGTTGATTGCGTGTGGGTCTGAATACCACTACGTAGTCCTGACTGAAGGTCATCCCTATTTTTAGACCCACCCACATGATAAATAACGACGCCTTATCACCCTGAGTCCTGAGTCCTCTTATGCCTCGTCGCGTACTGCATGAGGACGAGTTTGTCTGAGTTATCTTCAGTAATCTCTTGCCTATGCGGACCGCGGAGGCTTTGGCTCCATCGATTTCACGTATACGGACATAATCCGCTTCCTAATCTCTCAGCCTGTCCGTCACGCATCACGGCAGGGAAGTCATCGTGCGACGGGCCCCAAGCCCAAGTCCACGTTACACCAGGGTTTGCCATTTTGTATGTATTTACCCGTGAGGAACAAGTTTCGCACTTTCTCCCGAGTCATACTAGTGAAAAAGGTTCGTTACCACACGAATAAGCTGTTATAGGTTATGTCGAACAATATGCTGTTTCCCCACCGAGGTCTCTCCCCAGCCAGTTGATGACCTGAGCACACCCACTCCATAGCAAGTAGTCGCTCATCATCTCGAGATGCCTGGTATTTGCTGCAGATAATGTTGTGTTGCCCCAATCGTTATGCTTACCTGGATCAACCTACTTCGCGCCGCGCCCACCCAGAACGCCCAACATCCCCGATCTGACCCACTGTAGATAGCCCGGCACGTTTTATATTATTTGAGAAGCATAAAGAGGACCGCACTGCTATATATGAGACACTATCTGAAGAAGGGTCTCTTCTGTTGCGGGGATAAATTCTCGCCCGTCGTTGATCATCCGTATATCTGTGCGGAAATATGTGTAGAAGAGGATGTTACGTGGTTTCTGTCAAAGTGGTGGCTGGGCTTCAAATTTTAGGAATTCCTCTTTTGAGATATACTGGCTCCTACAGCTAATACCTTGGACATACCCAAGCAGATAACAAATAGCAAAGGACATTGGAAGGAAAATATATTTAGCATCATTTATACTGCGCGATAGAACTCTGCAGGCCGTATTTTGAGATGGCAATCATCATGGAAATAAGATGCAACCATCAAAAAGGTCTGTTTAGTGCTATTAGAGCTATAAGTGACATTTTCAATGAATTGTTCCATATAGGGGTAGTTTAGGGAATATGCCTTCATGGGCCCCCTTTATTTCAGTGTTCATGATTCAAATATTATTTACGAGTCACAGAAATATATCACGCGAATATACGTGATTTGCTATTTGCAACTACGTAGTTATCAGTGCTGATACTGATATATATTATCCCAATACCATTCTGAGACATACACATATCAACACGAATACGAACTGCCAAATCCGGATAAAGCAAAGGGAAATCTAGGCAAAATTAAAGCTTCGGAAAACGAACCTGATCCACTATCATTATGCGCACGTTGGCGTGGGGTGCCTGGCTCAGTCGAGATTTGTGCTCTGATAGGAGTCGAAAGACTCTGGACCAGATACAGTGAGACATAATCCACGTACACCTTTTAGACAAAATGTCGCCTAGGGAGTCGAGTACCAGATCATGTTGTGGGGCTTTCCGCGGTAATATTGCTGTGCAATAATATCAAGACCACGGCAGTAAAGATCTTTCCGAATGTTCGATGACTGATGTACGTCTTTCAGGGTCTGGACCTGCGAAATCTCTGATTCCGTATTCCGACAGCAAAAGTCGAATGAGCCTTGTTGTGGTGGGCATATGTGGGACTGCAGGGTTCTAGGATGAGAGACTCCACCCTTTTCGGATTCAGCCCTACTAGCCCTTTACTCGGCCCCATTTCTGTCAGGCTCCAACGCTCTGCTTCTACGCCACGCATTTGATGTAAAAGAAAATAAAAGTGGTAGTCCGCATGTCTGCGCCAGCTACTATACGGGCCACACAGAAATGTGAGTTCATCGTGAACCGAATTATATTACATTCAAGTCCCTTGCGGAACAAGGCAATACTGTATGGAAGCACCGACCAATATATCCCTTAACACAAAACTTGTCTGCCAGCTCGTAAAAACTACTCGCATGAACGTTATTCTTCACCCCCGCAGCAACACTCAAAACACATGAGTCCGCAGCATCTAAAAGAATTAGTATACTATTTATAGCGGAGCGAAGAAATAAGGGTCACCAAGGGGAAACCTACACTCCACAGCAAACTTCTCCAGCTTCGCCACCTCCTCGCATGCTCACATCTGATGATTCCGCGGCCGCTGTCTTTGCTGCTGGTCAGTATACTTGACGCTATGGTCGAGAGAGTTGTCCACGAATGTATCATACCGAAGTCTTTGTGCTGGGAGGTTCAGGAGCAGTTGGTTGCTGCATGGTCACAGTCTCTGGATCCCAAATATGGCTTTGTGGCTCTGGAGTAGGCGCTTTGCTGAAAGATGTGGTAATCCAGTCGAAGAAACTCATCTTGTTCAATTGAAAGTCTGGTCAGAATATTATGCAGAGCGTGGGGTTCTATGGCGAGGAGAACCTTGTATAGCGTCTAGTCGCGATATTTATATGTGTTCTGTACCCCTGGGTCTGCATGAACTATGACAGCAATATTAGTGTCATAGAGCAGGAAAGCGTTATTGAGAATCTTTCACCTGCATGGAGCCATCAACTCCACAGCAGATCCACTATAAAACCCATGGTGAGGATCTAGTCGCAACTAGCAATCTTCTACGAGATCGAACGCCTCTTGAGCTGATATTCATGGTTATGAAACAAACACATAGTAGGGCGCAGTCTCAGCTCGTGCCATAAGACAACATTAACGAGTTGCTAAAAATTCATGGTTCTCCTCTATGCATGCCGTACAGAACTGCAAGACGTGGAAATTAAAGGTAAAAAAGGCTTGTTGTCTACGGATAAACATAGGAGAAACATACAAGCCTCGGAAAAGGATGAAATTGAGCCAAGTACTTGAAGCCAAAAAACATCACCAATCGGGGAAATAAACCACCTACCCCACCTCGAAAAAGAAGTTGAGTCCTGGGAGCTGGCTCAATCGAATTGAACAGCCTTGTGGATCCACCAAATAATAAGACCCACAGCTTTATAGGCACCAGCTTTACTGATTGGCTTGTTACCGTATTCGAATGCGAATAGCCTTTTCAAGATTAGCAGTCTTACTTCTTGCACTAATTTGAAGCTGGTCCTACGTAATGAGTAATACCTCTGCAAAAGTTCATTTGTATTTCAGCCCTGGGAGTCAGACCCTTTATCAGGGTGCACCGGGGCTGGCATCAAAATTCAAAACTTCTACCACGTGATGCCATCCCACTCACCCGTTGACCTTGACTAAGAAGACACAAAACATCTAGATGAAATTTCTGCTGACAGGGTTCCGTAGAGAGATTGTCGTTCAATATTACCGCAAATTCTGGACTAATTGCTCAAGAGAACTTTTATTCATGACCCTCTTTTGGCCTACGATGTAGCAAGCTAGTGATCTCCGGACAGAGTGGAAAAAAGAAGTGCATTATTCTTCGGACCTCGTCTCGAATCCGAGACCCACTATTGGTGCTGCCGTACTGTCTGCGCTAGTTGACGGAGATAAATCCCTGAACACGTTCTTGACCTGGACTGTCGGGTACCTTCACCGGCTTCTTTATGTTGGGATCACGATATTTCGAGAAAAGGCACATTTCTGCTTCTATAATTTTTCCCTTATCATAGCTTTTTCTTTTAGATCCGAACACTGGCTTGCAAAAGACAATATTGATATAATACATGAAGCTTAAATACAATTGGAATGTGATTAAGCGCACAGTACACGAAGAAGAAATATATCCCTGCCGGTGAAGGAATGTAAGAATTCGAAAGGCTAATCGTAGCTAATCAGAGACACAACGTAGCATCTTCCGCATCACTTAGGTGCAACGGAAGCTTTCAGCCAAAGAAATATTGCCGCCAACGTATTCAATCTGGGAAGGATAGGGGCACAAGTTGCGATGGAGACCATTTCCGAGCGACGGGTATTCTACAGGCAATGTGTCCGGGGCTGTGCCATTTTCGACCCAACGCTGGAGAGCCTTCATGACCGTGGTGGGCTGGCCACCGAGGCCGCCGGCGCAGTGACCGAGACCCGGCGACTCGAAGAAGCGCCAGAAGTCATGAATATCCGGAAAGAGCGCCCGAGCCTTGTTGTAGACATATTCGGTACCTTTGGTGGGGATACTGGGATCGGCCTGTTTGGTAAAGGGGTGATGGGTTAATTACTGCTGTCAGGTTTCGGCAAACCGGGAGGCGAAGGAGGGAGAGGAAGGACAAAAGACGTACCATGCCGTGGTAGGTCAGGAGCTTGCCTCCATTGTTCTTGAAGGCATGCAAGTTCGCGTCGTCTGCGTTCCAGGCGCTACCATATTCCGAAGTGATGAGGTTGAAAAACTCCTGGTATTCCGCGTGGCTCAATCCCATGGTGTCGAAGCTGATATTCTTAGCGACGAAGAGATTGAACCATTCATCCTTCAAGGTGGCGAACGATGAGCTGTTGAATCCCGGTTGAGCACCAAAGGTACTACCAATGTCGGACCCTGGGTTGTAGCCATACCAGAGCTGGTGGCCGTCAGTGGTATGCGCGCCCGACCAGGCAGCATCAATGATGACCGCGGCACCCTGACTCAGTGCGATAGTGCGCTTCAAGGAGTCACAGGTGAATGTTTTGTTCACGGCGGTATAGGGATCGTAGTTACAAGCTGTCATGTTCGAGATAAGTCCATCTACCACACCATCAAGGGGATCACAGTAGGTGATAGCTTCTCGTGTCAGGAAGTCCAGTTCGCAGACGAGAGGGTTTAAGTTGTGCCAGATGCGCATGAAAAGAGCATAGTACAGCGAGGAAGTAAACTTGGTGAAGGATTGTGCGGGAGCTGAGGCAGCAATACCATCGTATGCAGTGGGATAGCGCTCAGCGATCATCATTCCCTGCCGGCCTCCTTGTGAGCAACCGCTCCAGTAGGAATATTCAGGAGCACGACCGTAGAAGCTGTTCACCAGACTCTTTCCAATGATGGCTTGGTCATTGTAGGCCCGGGATCCGAAATTTTCCACTGCAACCCAATCGACATTGCCCGGACTGGTGAGCGCCCATTCACGAGGTCCTGTAGTATCCTTGCCCAGTCCAGCATCGGTGGTGGTGGTAGCAAATCCTTCCCCAAGTGCACCTCCCATGAAGAATTCGGACAGCACAAACCGGCCAGCAGCCCATCCGCCACCCGCTGTTGCTTGGAGGCGGCCGTTCCAGTTGGCCGGTTCCGGAAGCCAGGTCTCGACAGTGATGTTATCCTCATAGCCGGGATGTGTATACTGCACGGTAATGTTGCAGAACTTGGCATTTTCGAGTTCAACGGTACCTCCATTGTAGTTGAACGTGTACGGAATGTAATCGGTGTAATTGGTAACCCAAGCTGCTGACAGAGAAAGGATCTCAGCCCCGTACACGACCGGGGTCTGAATGGCTGCAGGCGAGCAAATGGAAAAGTTTGACATGGCCGCTAAAGGAATGTGAGCCAAGAACGAGTGTATGAAATGAAATGAGTGTCGCAGACTGCAATTCTCCGATTCATCCTTCCTTTTATACCCAGCTTTTCAGCCTGGACTGGGTAACCCATATTATTCCAACCTTGAATGACATCGATTTGGGAAGGGGGTTTAGGGATGGTGGAGCCCAAGTCGGGCGACGGCCGAGTGGCTCTTCCCGAATAGGATGTTCGTACTCGGGATGAACAATAACATGCCGGCTCCACTTTGTTCTCTGAACCCTGGATGCCGAACTAGTCTGCGCCGTGCCGGTGCCACAGAATACCCAAGGAGTTGGGCTTCTTGACATACTGGAATCACCGATCATATCACATTGATACCCGTAGTTGCGCGCGCTTGGTTTACGAATGTCCGACCTATGTCGGCAAATATCTAAAGTCTCTGGTCTCACATCAATCTCGCCAAGGCAGCGCCCCTGCTTTTGCTGCCTATGATATACCATCCATGCATTGCGTCCAGTTCTTATCTCCGACCTCATATGCGCATCCTGTAAGTGCCTACATCATTTGTCCGAAATAGCCTATGCTAATGGACGCTGAGTACCTGGAACTCGAATCTTGTCATGCCTACCGGTATTCATGATATACTCAGCCGATATATTCCATATGCGCACACATGGAAAGCCAAATTCATGCTCTGCATATGGTAATACACAGACAGCGGCAACTACTTTATTAAGCGAATCTGGAGACATGGGGGTGTTTCGCCCTGGAGCAAGGAGCTAAAAAAGCTATATCTAGATGTGGCAGTGGAGGAAACAATGTATCTAGGAAGGATCTATACAGTCTAGTGTGATCAAACTCTATATAATTGAAGACGCGTCTTCGCTGTCTTTCAACGCATCAATGTAAAACCATTTGATGTATTGATAATTGGTGAACTTCGAAATATGATTTGATCATATACACAACATATCACATTTGACTATCACCAATAAAGCCCTTGCTGCTTTCTTAGTGTCATCTCTGGCTTGCATTTTATGCATTGACTTCGTTATCGACATTCTATAAGGACACAAAAACGCGCTACATCATGCAAGATATATTACAAAGCAAACCTCAGCTCAGTAGATAATGCTTTCCCAATGCAGTCGAACATATAATACCACACTGCATGCACCCCCACCTCAGCAAAAGGACTAAATCATCCCCACTCCTTCAAATCTTTAAGATGGACCCCTTCACCCAATGCCCAAGCTGCGCAGACAACAGCCGGTTCTCATTCATAATAAACATCCGCCCATTGCGGCCAAAGGAAAAGTTAGCCACGCCGCTCTTGATGTAAATCTTCCCCAACAAGACACCACCGGGAGACCAGACGTTAACCCCGTCCCCGCAGCCAGCGTACACGTTGCCTTCCATATCGGTCTTGATTCCATCCGGGATACCGTTTGCTGCCATCGCGAAAACGCGACGGTTGGTCAGGAATGGCTGGCCGTGGTAGGTGGTGATGTCGAATGCATAGCTGGATGGTTCCATATCAGCAAACCATAAACGTAAGATGGTATACCATACTTGCGAACATAAAGGAAAGCGACAAGAGATCATAGAGTGGGGAAGGGGAAATGACATACATAGTGGAAGGCTTAGTCAGATCCGTCGTCCCATCACCAACCGTATACGCCGTGTCAGTGATGTATACTATTTTCTCATCAGGAGAGAAAGAAATGCCATTCGGACGACCAAATCCATCCGTAACGCCACGCACATCCCCGGTACTCGGATCATAGCGATAAACTTGGTTCGGCAGTTGCGGTGCAGGGCGGATGCCCTGCTCGTATCCGTACGTAGGATCAGTGAACCAGATAGAGCCATCGCTGTGAACGACCACATCATTCAGGGAATTGAAACTCCGACCGTAGAAACCACTGATTAGGAGCTTGG